ACTTGTTTTATTTATTTTGGACATAAATGTTTTTAATTATATTATTTATTTTCTTAAAACCACTATTGAATATAAAAATTAAATAAAGGCTAAGTTATGAGGTAGAAAAGAAATTAAAAACTAAAGTGTTGTAATTCTAAATCAATGTAAAAAATTTAGATGAATGATGATGTGGCAGCTGATGTGGAAGATGATGTGGCATAAGGAGAAAAGAGAAAAAGTTAACTTTATATATATAGATTATCATGATTTTTACTCGAGATATTTATTTTCTTTAGTACAAAATATAGTGATGATGATAAAGTATTTTAGATTGAATGGTTTTTATTACTACTTAACTCAATCGTAAGTTTTCCACCAAAAACAAAAAAAAAAACTCAATCATAAGTTACTTCTTCTATATTATTCTATATCTATTTTCTTTTATATAAAATAATATCGACAATAATAAACGATCATTCAGTTTCGTAACACTTGAAGTACAAAATAAATTCTCACCGTTGAAGCTTTTACTACAAAATTTACAACAGCCACACACAAAAAAATCTTTAGCTAAGGAATGCCTCAACCGCTTTCTATAGTCGCACATTATATTTGCACGCTAACAAGCTCAAGTATGCATATCTATCTATAAAGTCATATTACTCATATTTGTCTCAAACATTTTAATATCACCGACTTGTTGTAAGTTGTAACGTGAATCTAACATAGATATATAATGTTCTATTTGATTTGTGTATTGAGTTGGACCAACGCACCACTACCCGTATTGTAACGTGTTATATTATTGTATTAATATTACTGAAAACATGATATAGTATAATTACGTTTCCTGAAAAAAGTGGGATTATTATAAGGTTGCTTTTGTCTATGATCCCAAGAAAAAACAATACGACCTTTTGTTCCATGTAGGCAGATTTATGGTTTCTTATGCATCCTATGTGGAAAGTGAAATAACCGGGGACCAAATTAATATTTGGCGTTTGTCGTCAAAGAGGCTATGCATGAATGCTTATTAAAAGCTAGAAAAGCCGGTTATTGCAATAAAAACCGACCTTTGCCTCTTCCCAAAAGCCACCACCCCTCATCCCTCGTGGCATTATGTTTGTTCTCATCCAATCATAGAAGCCCTCTTGTATTGCCACTTGTGATCCTCTTGTTTATCCATTGTGTGACACAATTTGTGTTCTCGATTAAAGTATTTTTGCCATATGATAGATTTTGAAATCGAACGTTCTTATCCCTTTTTGGTTAGATTTCTTCTAACTATCTTGGTAGATATGCTTTCAAATCCTATTGTCTTATCGAACATTTTCTTAATAATTTATTGTTTGTCAAACTATTTTTCGAAATGTATATCTCAATCATTCTAGCCATCTATATTTAATTTGATGTTGTAGCAAATCTACTATATTTATAAAAAGTTTCACAGAAAAACTATTTTTAAGGTCGTAATTGATTATATTCCATTGTTTTTGAATATTCAATATTTTGATTTAATGTACACGAAACGTTATATGTATGGACCTAATCGTTTGTAAGGAACCACAAAATACTTTTTTTTGGTTTTAAAACTTAACACAAACAATTAAAAAATTTGGCGAAAAATATAATCAACAAAGTTAGGAATAATAAAAGTAGGTACAAGGATTGTAACGTTGGAAATGGGGAGTGAGTTCGCCGCATAAAGTGGCGATGTGTTAGAAAATTGATTAGGCTTCGTGCAATGATTATCTTCAGGGGGTGGTGTAGATTTTATGCCACGTGAAAAAATAACATTTTTGACCTGTTGTTTTATGCTTTGGTTGGCTTTTCGTGTTCCACAAATATTCTTGCATGAGCTGTGTAACTCATTGACATATTTGTTAGCTATCTTGATGCATCTCGCCGTTCACATAAGTATTCACATATGTGGCTCATTATAAAACCAAAAAAAATCACAAATTTGTTGATAAGTTTCCACACCGAAATAGTGGTCGGTCCGTCCGGCCATAAACTAATTAGTAGATTTGATTAATGCTGTTCTTCTTACTCATCGTTGGTGAGAAAAAAATATAAAGGTCGTTGGTCGGAGATGTCTATTTGACTATTTCCCATATCATTGGTTGATTACTTTATCTAGAAAGCCAAACTTCATTATACTAATCAGTGATGATCCTATCCGCATGATATGTGGAAGAAGACCAAAAGGTCTCCTTTGGATTTCCCACTCGTCCTTACTTATGGGAAATATAAAAATTTACAATATGTTCTTTACTTTATCTTTGATGTTAATCGATTTCTTCGGTCATGCAAACTTTATCCTCATAGATTGGACATTAATTATATTATTCACTAGTTGGGAGATTAAATAAAATAATGTGGTTTCTTCGAGGGTTTAGTATATTGTATAATTTAACTAGATCGATTGCTTAAGGGTTTACTCGTATACAAAAGAAAAACCAAAATAAAATTTGTTCTACACGTTAACATATACTAGTTGTTAATCATTTGTGAGACATTATAATTTGGTTATTAGTTGTCTTATTGACGATAATATCTAAGTATATACTTGTTTGCTAATAGCAAAATTTGTATCGTTGTGATGTATCAATATGTTTTAGAGATTGCAATAGTAATGTGATAAATGAAATATCTTTACTTTAGTTGTGATGGTATATATCAATTTGCATGGAAAATACGTAAAGCGAATACAAACGATTTTTTTTTGTTTTTTGTTTTTGGATTTGAAGTTGCTACAATTTGCTAGTTATCATGATTTGCTTTCACTTATTTTCTTTGTCAATAATCATGATAGGTTTGTTTTTATTTGTCAAGCGATTTCTCTAATCAAATAGTACAATCTAATCTAATGACACTAATAGTTTTCTATCAAGTTTGATGGAACAATTTTTTGATGATTGTGGATATAGTTTTGGTCCATAATGTCCAAATTCTTAGGTTTAAAAGTGTATTAGTGTAAAATATGTATAATTATATTCAAACAAAGGTTGCATGCATCGTCCAGAATTCGAAATTGAGTCTTACACTCTTACAATTTTTGACCGAATCTAGCTAAAATATCAAAAATTTAATTCTGGAACAAATCATATATGGTTGGCCGTAACGTTTACCTTTCCTCCCTTGGTCTTCGGAGCAAGTGACGCACATAGGATTTTTTTTTTTTTTCGTCAAAATATAATTTATATAGATGAATTAATGTAATCATGATACATTTGTTGTGACGCACATAGGATATAGACAATTTCGATCACACAAAATATTATCATGTATCTTTGGAACTATTTTATGTCTTTTAGCTAAATATATTAGCATGCATTATATTATACTATTCATCTTAAAATATGCTTAGTTCAAATCATTTACTATAAAATTTAACTGGATATATATGTTACAAGTTTGGATGGTGGAAAAAATCATTTAGTATAAAACAATATCGAAATCCATAGATTGAAAAAATCTGTCAGGTAATTGAAAATTCAAAATCATTTAGTATAAAACCAATAACTCATGATTTCAATAATAATTTTTAAATCAATGATTGAGAAGTTTTCTAAATCCACCTATGATTGAATTTTATTTTTATGGTGTATTCAACTTTATATTTTGAAGTATTTGAGTTTTAGTGAGTTTTTATATGATTTGAAGAAATTTATGTAAATTTAGAATTTTTTTTTTATGATTTATTGTAATCCTAAATTCCACTTAAAACCATCAGATTTTTAACTAGGTTTGCCCAAAAAAAGAAAAGAGTTTTTAGTTGATTTTCCAAGTTAAAAATCTTATGGTTTTTTTTTTGGGCAAACCTAATTAAAAATTCTATGGTTTTAAGTGGAATTTAGGATTACAATTTACAATAAATCATAAAAAAATTCCCTAAATCCACTAAAAACTCTTCAAGTGATTAAAAAGGTCCAATCTTAAAAATATTTTTAATCCAACTCGTTCAAGGTTAATTGGATTGAGTTGGGTTTTAGTCCCGTTGTGATTTGTTAGGAAAAGTTAATAAACCATTTAAATGAGCTTATGCGATATTGGGCTAGGCCCAATAGAATGGTCGTCACATTGTCAAATTGTCTCACTACACAGGAAGAAGAAGTCATCGAACGGAAAGTCCAAAAAAAAAAACTGATTTTGCCTGTTTGGTTTGGATCCGAGGAGATGGTTCCTTCGAGCGAGACAGCGACCGTACGAGTCCTTTGCCAAAAGCTGCTTCTCTCAGAGAACCAACCTGGCAATCTCCAATGGCTCATTGGTTCTCCATTTTTCCCGCCTTTCACCGTCGTCTCCACCTTCCGATGTATCCATCACTCTTCTGATTTCCAGCAAGAATCTGGTGAGGAGACAGCCGTGTTTACTCTTTGAGTATCTCAATAAATGGAATCGGAATGTTTAATTGCATGATTCATGTTTTCGATTACGAAAGTTTAAGTTTTTATTCATGAATCAAAGTTTAACTGTTAAAGTACCCACCTTTAAACTTGTGTTTAATGATTTTGATTGCTCAGTAAGATAGCTCTTTTTGGATTTGTATGGGTTTTTTTTGTGTTGAATTGTTTTCTTGATCATATTTGTGAAAAACCAATCAGATGATCTGCGGAAGTTACTACCAAAAGGTTTTGAAGTCATTGGGGGTCTCATAGTTGGGGATTCTGATGCTGAGAAAAGTGCATTTGAGGCAGTTAGAGCTGCTCGTAGATTGCGAAAGCATTTATCTGAAGGTGGAGAGTTGGATGATGAAAAGATTGTTGGGGCTAGTTGTGATATAAGAACTGGTACCATTCACTTTTTCATCTCTAAAAACGAAAAAGCAACAAAGCTAGAGCCTGTTGCTTCTGTTGTGTATGAGGATAAGTCTGGAAAGTATTTATGGGAGAATGGTTGCTTGCTTCAATGTGAGCTTCCAATCAAGTTGCCCTTCTATTTTCCCGCAAGCTCGCCTTCTGGTATGATCTCTAGTTTCTGGTATTTGGCTTCATCTTTTAATTGCATGTGCTTTTTTTTTTCCCTCAAGTTTACTGGTATTTTCTTTTCCAGATTCGAAGGAGAAGTTTTCAGATGCAATTGATGCAGTGATTACTCAGTTTAAAGAACCTTATGCTGTATACATAGCCGAGACCTTAAACAAATCTTCTGGAGATGTTGCAAAGCCAATTGTCCTCCGTGGTAAAGTTTTTGGTTTTGGTGCTGATGCATCAAACATTAATCGTCTTCCTGCTGCTGACCAAGTATCTGACATTAAAATGTTGTCATGTTCACATTTTTGTCTGAATAGCAAAACTGCTCCAGCAGTAAATTCAGCTGAGGTAAGTAAACCGAGAATTTACCTTCATATCACTGTTTGTTTTGCTTCTTTCTGGATTTATTACGATACTCCTCCCCTGATATTTCTTCTTCTTAGAATGCAGATAAAATCCACATATCTGTTCTTCTTAATAGATCTGAAAAATTTCCAACCTCTGGTGCTCCTGTTGCTGAATATTTTCCAGGTAGAAACTTCAAATATAGATTATTTATTTAGAATGTATTCAAGGCAGTAAGAACACGCATGTGGCTTGTTCTTATATCTTAATTTTTTTTTACTATTCTCACAGCTATGGAAGAAGCAAGGCTCATTGTTGTTGATTTGAATCTTGATGTACTTACTTATGCACCCAAGGATCTTCCACTAATGCATGCGGTCTCAAATTTAGTTATCCCTGCTTTGGTTGATCAATTATATTCCCTGAAGAAGATTATCTTACCATATCTCTTGATGGAACATCCTCAGGTAGGGCTTCGTTTACTTTAGGTTAGTTATCAAATATTTCGCATAGTATCATTTTGTTGGATCTGGTGGTTCCATCATAGCCAGTAAGATGAGATTGTATATGTCACTGAAGCACTTTCATCCCTCTCTGAACTATCCATATTGTTCCTGACTATCTCAAGAGTTGCTTTGCTTTTACAGTTGCGTATATATCACTTCAATCCACCTGGAGTATTACATCCAATCACGACTATATACGAGCTTAACTACGGGGAGACTGAAATGAAGCAAGGTAATTATTCTGTTTATATAAGGAGGCCACAAGAATCATGCTAAGATTGAAAAGATACACATATCCCTTTCTTTGAATAAATTTGAAGTTATCTATAGGAAAGCCTTATAATTACCAACTTAGCATTCTGCTGTGTTTTTGAACTAGCACTTTCACAAAATTTAGATCGTCTAAAACTTTTTTTGCAGTCTCATTTATGTTATATGATATATTGTTCCTGCTCTTGACTCTCTTTGCAGTCGATGTTAGAAAATCTCTACACTTGAGGCTTGGTCTGCCACTAAATCGTCCACTCCTAAGAACTGCTAATGCCTTGGATTTTTCTGTGAATGATGACTCTAGGAGCAACGTAAAGAAAAGGGGTACATAGACCTGCCTAGTTTGTTTAATTCATTTTCTCTTTGTCTCAATATTTGCAATAAATTTAATTGGTAAGTAACATGGGCACTGCCAGGTTCCATCTTGCTCAAAGATGTGCACATCGGAATCCCTAGCAGTGGAGGTTAGCATTATGTATGTTTTTTTTCGTTGTTCAGGCTTTGTTCTATCTATTCGTCTATTAATTTTTGCATTTTCTATGCAGTCACGGAGGGTGTGTCATCTCTAATCCAAGGTTCATATGAGTATTATCATTATCTTCAGGATGGCTTTGATGACTCGGTATATAATTTCTTATTCTCCCAAGGTTACAAAATACTGTGTTAATCCAAAACCCGATTGTAGCTGATGTCCTGATGATGTGGGAACTGAAAAAATCTTAAGCAGAAATTAAGGAATATCGCTATGTGCTATGTAACTGGAATCCTTTACAGTCCTTTCACTGGAAATCAGAGTTCTTTAATAATTAGTAGCACGGCATTTGGTTTAATAATTACTAGAAAGATGGATATAGTGTCTACTTCTAATTCTAAATTTCTCTTGTGCCAGGGATGGGGCTGTGCTTACAGATCACTGCAAACTATCATCTCCTGGTTCAGACTTCAGCACTATACATCCATTGCTGTTCCTTCACATAGGTTTGAAACAATTTCTCGTTACTGAAATTCAGGTGTCCTCTTCCATATCTCGATAATTTAAGCACAACTATCTGGATTCTCAGGGAAATACAGCAGACACTCGTGGAAATAGGTGACAAGGATACTTCTTTTGTAGGATCACGCGAGTGGATCGGAGCCATAGAGTTGAGTTTTGTGCTAGATAAACTTCTTGGTGTAAGTCTTCCCACTCTAAACTTCCCTTATTTGAATATATTCTGACATCTAAATCATGATAAGACAAGAATCGAATAGTAGAGTTTTTCTATCAACTCGAAATTGCGTCTATATGTTTTAGATGAAGTCGAAAAACCAGCCTTCCAGTATAGTGTATCGAGTATCGACGTTGATAATCTTGGGAGGTCTTTTTCTTACAGGTAAGTTGCAAAATAATGAATTTTAGATCTGGGTCAGAGCTCCCAGAGAAATGCCGTGAGTTAGCTATGCACTTTGAGAACCAAGGAACTCCAATAATGATTGGTAAGTCAAAGCCAGACCACGCATACTATCACCATACACAAGCTTTGAAATCAAAACAAGAACTCATTCAGTATTCAAACCTTCTTGGCTCTGACATCACAAAACTGTGTCTTGTGTGTGTTTTATTCAGGAGGTGGGGTTCTTGCATACACGCTACTGGGAGTGGATTACAATGAAGGAAGCGGGGATTGCGCGTTCCTGATCCTGGATCCGCATTACACAGGAAGTGAGGATCACAAGAAGATCGTGAATGGTGGATGGTGTGGGTGGAAAAAAGCAGTAGATAGCAAAGGGAAGAGCTTTTTCTTGCAAAACAAGTTTTACAATCTTCTTCTTCCTCAGCGTCCTAACATGGTTTAAATTATATCATTGTCCTCCCTACATACACCAACCAATCATATCACAGTTTTACTAGTGTACTCTGGTCTACTACTTAGTCCTGATAATGCAAAACATGGAGTTTTAGTTGCAGTTGATATTTTTTTTATTTTTTTTTACGAGTTTGTGTTATGGAAAAAGAAGTAAATCCAATGCAAACCAAATTCAAGGATAAGGTCAATAGCTTAATTACTTTTGACAAATCCAATTGAATAACTTTAGTTTTGGTAAATTTCTAATTTCTTTTGGGTGAGCAGATTTGTATTTATCGAAAGCAGATTTGTATTTATGGAAAGTAATTTGGATCTAACTGAATTAATTAAAAGATTAAGTTTTCTTTTAAATTAAGCATAAATATAAGGGTAACTTCACAATTTTAAAAAGCCTTTATTTTTCCTTTTCTTATATATTCCAATTTTGTAATCGCCGATTCTCTCATGCTATATAAACTCTCGTCGAGCTTTGAGAATCGGCGACATTGAAAATAATCTTCTGAGAGACTCTGGTGAGAGATTCTTCTTACCTGAGGAGTTTGTGTTTCAGTAGTGGAGCTCTGATCCCTTGTTCTTCTTTCCTGTCTTGGCTAGAGAGATCCGAGTCAAGCACAGAAGAGTTCGATTCACGAGTTGGACTGTATACGTTTCGGATTAATCGATGGTATGAACAATTACTCTATATGTTGGGTTTCATATGTTTCGTTTAGTTGATTCTTTGGTATTATCACGAAATAAACTCGTAACGCTCATGTGTTAGTGTTTGCTCTTAAATTGATGATTATATTGTATGTTTTGGGAATTTTTTTCTAACCATTCATAAATCTTGACTGTGATAGATGGCATCGAGTGAAGGGTTTTTGACTAATGGACAGCAGAAGAAACTGGAATTAGCAGCAACTCAGAATCTGTTATCATCACCAGAATCTCCTCCTTTGTTTGCTGTCAAGAAAGGTTGGTACTTATATCAATTCCTAAGTAAATTAAATACATATTGCTGATAAACATGAAGCTTAGATGTCATTCATTGGATTCCTCTTTCATTGTTTCAACAGGTGGTATTGCTTGTGGTAAAGAGAATCGGGGAGAGGATCTTGACACAGAAGTAGACTGTTCTTGTATTGATGGTAAAGATCCTAATGATGTTAATGGAGAGGTATTACTTCTGTTTCATTTTGTTGTGCTACTCTCTTTTTAAATGTGTTTACTTATCTGATTTTTTTCAACTTGATTTAAACAGGAACCATATGAACTTGTCGGTTCGCCAGTGTTAGGCCCTTTTGATGATTACAAAAGATCTGTAGTTTCCATCATCGAAGAATATTTTATCTCTGTGGATGTTCAAGTAGCTGCATCTGACCTTATGGAACTTGGTTTGAGCGAATACCATCCTTATTTTGTCAAGAGGCTTGTTTCCATGGCCATGGACAGGGGCCATAGGGAAAAGGAAAAGGCTTCGGTGTTGCTCTCTCGATTGTATCCTAATATTGTTTCACCTGATCAAATCAGGGTTGGGTTCATTAGATTGCTTGAATCCATTGGTGATCTTGCTTTGGACATACCTGATGCTGTTAATGTCCTGGCTTTGTTTATTTCCCGGGCCATTGTCGATGAAATTCTTCCCCCGGTTTTTCTAGCTAGAGCAAAGAAGACTCTACCGGATTCATCTCAAGGGTTTCAGGTTATCCTAACTGCAGAAAAGAGCTATCTCTCGGCTCCTCACCACACCGAGCTAGTGGAGAAAAAATGGGGTGGGAGCACTTGCATTACGGTAGAAGAAACAAAGAGAAAGATATCTGAAATTTTGAAGGAATATGTAGAGAACAGTGACACTCGTGAAGCTTGTAGATGCATCAGGGAGCTAGGCATCTCGTTTTTCCATCACGAGGTCGTGAAGAGGGCTTTGGTTCTGGCCATGGAGTTTCAAACATCCGAGCCGCTGTTACTAAAACTATTGAAAGAAGCTGCAGAAGCAGGTCTCATTAGTTCGAGTCAAATGGCGAAAGGGTTCTCTCGAGTAGCAGAGAGTCTCGATGACCTTTCTCTTGACATCCCATCTGCTAAGACTCTGTTTGAATCAATAGCTCCCAAGGCTGTTTCCGGAGGTTGGCTTACTTTAAAAGAATGCAATGATCAAAACGAAAGCTTACCGATTGAAGATGAAAAGCTAAGACAGTACAAGAAGGACACAGTAATTGTAATTCAAGAGTATTTTCTTTCTGATGACATTCCTGAGGTAATCCGCAGTCTTGAAGACTTAGGATCACCCGAATATAACCCGGTGTTTTTGAAGAAGCTAATCACTCTTGCTATGGATAGGAAGAACAAAGAGAAAGAAATGACTTCTGTTCTTCTCCCTGCTCTTCACATGGAGATGTTCTCAACAGAAGATTTCATAAACGGTTTCATCATGCTCCTTGAATCCGCAGAAGACACAGCACTAGACATCTTAGAAGCATCACACGAGCTTGCTCTGTTTCTAGCTAGAGCTGTCATCGATGATGTCTTGGCTCCGCTTGATCTTGAAGATATCTCAAACTTCTTACCACTAAAATCAGCCGGAAATGAAACTATCCGCTCAGCTCGGTCTCTGATAACTGCTACACATGCAGGAGAAAGACTCTTGAGATGCTGGGGTGGTGGAACGGGCCAGGGGGTGGAAGATGCTAAAGACAAGATCTGGAAACTTCTAGAAGAATACGAAACAGGAGGAGTGATTTTAGAGGCTTGTCAATGCATACGGGATCTAGGGATGCCTTTTTTTAACCACGAGGTGGTTAAGAAAACTCTGGTAATGGCAATGGAGAAAAAGAATGATATGATGCTTAATCTCTTGCAGGAGTGTTTTGCTGAAGGGATCATTACTACTAACCAAATGACAAAAGGGTTTGGTCGAATCAAAGATAGTCTTGATGACTTATCTTTGGACATTCCAAACGCAGAAGAAAAATTCAATTCGTATGTCTCTCATGCTGAAGAAAACGGTTGGCTACACCGTGATTTTGGGTGCTCTACGGAGACTCTTGACTGATTCTGAATCTCTATACATATATTATAGTATATAGAAAGATGGAATTGGTTGGTTTTATTTTAGGTCTTCTTTAAATTGTTACCCTTGCTGGTTTCTGACAGAAGGATCGTTCCATGTAACTTTTACATAGGTTTTTTACTAAAGTCTTCATCTCTTTTAGTTATTCTTTACTCACAAGTAATATGTTCTCTGAAACTTTCCCAGCAATGATTCTTACAATTGATGGTTACTGACAATGTTTGCTAATCTTTATACCAAATAAATTTAAATCCATTTATTAGTCTAATAATTCAACATTATAAATACACATACGAAAGTCCATGTGTGATGATGACGTTGTAATGTGGCTTATCATTGTTTATTCAAGCTCCAAACATATTAAAAAACACCACAAGATTAAGAAGCGTTGACCAAAAACAAAAAGAAATCTGAATCACTAAAGAAAAATGGAGAGATCAATGGATTCAGCGATTCACAAGCATCCATTATACCATTCATCAAGGTTTATAAATGGTCGTTGTCGCGGTTGCAAACAAATCTCTCCCATACATGGTGGCTACCGCTGCAATGATTCTGACTGTAACCATATTTGGTATCACAAAGAATGTGCCGAGTCATTACCAGAGATTAATCACCCTTCCCATTCCGAGCATCCGCTCTGCTTATTCGACTACAGGGGAAGCGGTACGTGTGCCTTTTGTGGAGCTTTCTTGTTTGGTCTTACCTATCACTGTTCTATATGCGACTATCATATGGATATAGCTTGTGCTAGAAAGCTACTACCTCCACTTGTTGCTATTGAACATCCCAAATGCCACAACCATTCACTTGTTCTCTTGGAGAAACAAGTGAAGAAATACCCTTGTGGAGTTTGCAAGAAAACAGTTTTTGGTAAGTATCCTTATGTTTGTCTTGAGTGCGATGTGTATTTCCACGTTGACTGCATAAATATATCGCGAGAGGTCAACCATCCTTGTCATCCTGTTCATACTCTCGAGCTTTTCAAAACTGAGTTGCTACCTGATGATGCTCAAAAGACTTGTCTTCTGTGTGGTGAAGGATCAGATCATTTGATTTATCATTGTTCCATTTGCAACTTCAGCATCTGCGTTTATTGTGCGGTGAATCCTCCACCGCTTGCTATAGAACATCTTAAGACTCACAACCATATGCTAACTCTCTTGCCTAGACGAGTCGAGTTTATTTGCAATGCGTGTGGCATGAAAGGCGATAGATGTCCTTATATTTGTCTTGAATGTGGTTACTTAATCCATCGGGAATGCATTGATTTACCTCGTGTCATTAACATCAATCGTCATGATCATCGCATCTCTCTCACTCGTCATCTTGGTCCTCAGTATTCCAAATGTGGAGTTTGTCGCCAAAATGTTAATAGATACTACGGAGGTTATTCTTGCTCTCTTTGCCCCAACTATACCGTTCATCCACAATGTGCAATGAGAGACGATGTATGGGATGGAATAGAACTCGAAGGGACACCGGGAGATACTGATGAAGATGTTGCGCCATTTCAGGTGGTTGATGACAACACGATAAGACATTTCAGCCATGAAAAACATAATTTGATGCTCAACAAGAATGATGTAATCACTCATTATGATGAAATCACACGTTGTCAAGCATGTGTCCTTCCTCTACTGTCTGATCCTAGCTACAGTTGTGGGCAATGCAATTATGTTCTTCATGAAACATGTGCGAATCTCCCTCGAAAGAAGAGACATGTGTTCAACAACAAACCATTTACGCTACACATAGGAGATAAAGATTCTTCCAAGAACTGGTTTGAGTGTGATGCTTGTAGAACAGTCTCCAATGGGTTTAGGTACGTTTCTGGTGATTGGATTCTAGATGTGCGTTGCGGTTCGATATCAGAACCATTGCTCCATGATGGTCACTCACATCCGTTGTATTACTACAAAAAGCAAGGCAAGTCTTGCAGTTCGTGTCACAACAAGATGGTGAAACCTAGAGTACTATGTTGTGATACTTGTGACTTTGATTTGGATTTCTACTGTGCTAATTTACCTAAAACGGTAAAACATAGTTGCGACGAGCATCCTCTTTCTCTATGCCACGGCGAGAATGATGTGATTCAGCATAACAAATATTGGTGTGACATATGCGAAACAGAAACAGATCCAAAGAAATGGTTCTACACTTGTTATGATTGTGGGGTGACTTTACATGTCAAGTGTGTACTTGGAGACTTCTCACGTCTCATGCCAGGAGGCAACATAAATGTTGATGGATGTGAGTATGTAGTGGTTTCTAACAGCAAGAGTTCTAGACCGTTCTGCGACCAATGCCATTCTCGATGTGAAGAACCCTTCATTCTAAAGACTTGGAATAATTGCAATATTGTTAACTGTAATCTATGCATTGATGTCTACATTTGCTCCCGTAAGTGTCGCCAGCCCTTTCATTTGAGACTCTAGTACACTTGTATTAATATCTTGGTCCCATAGTAAGATTCAATATAGGTTTTGATTTGGTTATAGACTCATACTTCGAGGTTTCTGATTTTTATTTTTATTGTTCATCATAATCAGTTTGTAGACATTACAAGCAGATAAATATGTCTGAAAGAAAACATAAATAGTCCCAAACACATCCACTCACACAGAGGCTTCTCACTCTCACTAACCTCTTTCTTCCCCAGTCAAAAGTGACTTGACCATCTTATCAGTCATACCTTCCGCAAATAGTAACAAATGTCCTGATCCAGAGATTTCATGGTACCGAATCCATGGCAGCTTTGAGATACATCGTTGAAGCTTCACTGGCACAAACTTATCCTCGTCGCCTTGCCATAGGTGAACGGAGCCATTGTTGTTCGGGAATGGATCTTGAATATCCAATGGACCGAATCCCCAGCTTGAAAATCCGACATTCAAATCTCGGTGTAGGCTTACATATTCACCTTGCTGTCTTACGTATGCCTGGAAAAACAAAGAATAAACTCAGCATTTCATTCAGAATCATCTTCTCATTGCAGAGGTACAAAACTTATGATATGGAAACGGAACCAAACTGCATGAGTGTGCTTACCCGATTTGGATTGACGAATCCAAGTTTAGACAAGATCTCCATGTCCTGACGAGAGAAAATAATGGGATTACCAGCAATCACATTGGAGATTGGGAACCATTTCTGAGAGTTCCACCAATATGTAAGCCAAGGAGCATAGTGAGCTACTCGAAGTGCCCATTGATCTGCAGGATACATAAGAGAGAACGCTTCTCTCGTTACGTCTTTAGGTAAGTTTCTCCACCAGTAGTTAATCGCAGGAGCTACAAGTACCGCCCCTGCTAACCTGTTAACAAAGTCCATAACCAAAAAAAAAAACCCACACTTCACAACACATCGTAGCCATTGTTTACAAGATCTCAATGTTAAAATCTATTCATTACATCGAATCATTTCAAACACAAACAAAGCCAACTCAAATGTAGTAGTACCTGTGAGGAATGTATTTAAGGCATGCCCATGTGACTCCACCACCCATGGAGAGACCAAAGAGATAAAATTTAGGTCCAAGTCCTAACCCATCAGCCAGCTCTTCTATGTCCAGTGCTATGCTTCTCGGCGAGCCATTCAGGTTAGGATCACTCTCTCCATAACCAGGACGGTCAAAAGACACAGTGTATATCCTCAATTCCTCCACAAGAGCCTTAAAAAATTATGCACAAAGACACCATTTTTACTCATTAGCTTTACCAAAGGCGCAAACTTTGACATTTATTCTACACTATCTATGATTTGGACAAAATGGGTGATCAGAGATTTGACCGGAAAACTTACCGGCGATAAGAAATGGGTGAAAGGCGAGTCGTGCATACAAGAATCAAAGCCATGGATAAATATGATCTTGAAGTTAGCTTCGTCTCTAGGGATTCCGAATTCCTTGTAAGCAAGATGTCTACCATCTCTCAATTTGATCCTCGGCGATGTCACGGCGACTCCTCCGGGAGAGCCAACGATTTTAGCCGGTGGTGGTTGGATTGATTGGTAAAGCCATGCCAAAGCTCCAACGAACGATACCAGTAGAATCGTTCTCAGATAACCTTCATACAATTTTGACTGTTCAGAGTGTTTTAACCAAATATATTACTTTCGGTAAAAATTATTGAAATAACCCCAAAGCAATTATTAACAAATGCATAGAACACAACACATATGCTTTAAAAGCTATTAAGTTGGTGTTACCAATAAACCATATCAACTTTATGAACTGAATCTATAGATTTATCCTTCGAAGTAAGATGAAAGTGGAACATAAACAAGAAGATGAGAAAGATGAAGAAAACAAAACCCAGATTGTAAAGTTACCAGAAGAATTAGAAGAACTTTGTTGAGTGTTGTTGTTTCTGGTGTGAGCTCTCGCAGAAGCTGCAGATTTCTTCTCCCTCTCTGTTCTTGTTTCATACATCTTCTCTCTTTCTCTTGAAATTTGTTTTTTTTTTCTCAAGAAAGAGAAGAGAGTGAGAAAAACCAAACAGCAATAGCAAAGTTTGGTCGAGGCAGTAAGCAAAGATCACACTTGCTTCTCTTTAGTCTTTATGATTTTTTGTCCTTATTTTATAGTTATACACACGAAAATTAAGAGACTTTCTTGATATTGCATGTATGTATTGGACGACTCAAAAGAGTGAAAAGAGGAACAACATCCAAAAAAACAATTTTTTTTCTTTATATTGCATGCATTGTGTATACAACTTTTCCTCTAGTAGTAAAATAAAATACCACTATCTCTCTCTTTCACAAAAAGTGTCATTAGTTTTATCTTATATTTTTAATTCATTTCTACATTAAATTTTCTAAATTTTCCATTTATATAAAATTAATTAAGCCATCAAACATTTATTAAACAGAGGCATATACGTATATATAATTAGATGATTTCTTTATTTGTGTGAATAGATAGAGTATATATATACTTAAAAGTTTTTCTTTTCTTGGATTTTGTCATTTATGTTTTTTATATATTAATGTCATCATCTGTTTTTGAGTAAATAAAGTTGTACCACATTACTGAATTAGAGTAGGGACAATAGTGATTTAAAGAGGATATTATTGGTGTGGTGTCTTCCAATACATATACACATTTATTGCTTATGACACATCTTATTTGAAAACATTTTGATGTAAAAGTTGGATATAATTTTAATAAATTCTATATATACAATAATTGACTAGTTTTTAAAATGTGAAAGTTTGATGATAACACCAAAAAAAACTTTGATTAGCTTTGACAAAATACTTATTTTTTAATTAGCCCGCATTCAAATAATTTATATACACGTCACAAAAATGACCCGACCCGTATTTAATGAGTACCGTACCCTAATCCGACTCATACCGGGTGGTTCTTTCTTATTTTTTGTGGTCGTTAACACAAGACCGGATAAGTTGAACAGATTCGCGACCGTTATTTATGTCTCACAGAGACAGAGAGAGATAGAGAGAAACAAAACAATGGCCACTGTGAAGATCTCTCTTTCTTTGGTTTCGTTATCACCATCTTCTTCTTCTTCTTCTTCAACTCAATCTAAGTTATCTCCGTCTTTCATCCCCAATGCGGCACGGACCAAGGCGGCGGCGAAGTTGCGATTCAGTGGTAAGTCCCTGAGATCAAAACCGTTTGTACACAGAGCATCTCGATCCGGAGGAATCACCTGCTCTGCTTCATCTTCTCCGGCGACTCTTCCTTCCGCTCTTCTCTTCGATTGCGATGGCGTTCTTGTTGATACTGAGAAGGACGGTCATCGGATCTCTTTCAACGACACTTTCAAAGAGGTTTCTGATAAGTTCTCCCTCGATTTGTATTCCTTAGTGTCTTTTTCTTCCTCAGGTGAAGATGAATTTTGAATCTTTTTTGCAGAGAGAATTAGGTGTTACTTGGGATGTTGAGTTATACGGCGAGCTGCTTAAAATCGGTGGTGGTAAAGAAAGGTATATATACCAAAATTTGAGTTGATGAAGTTATCAATTTTGTATCTTTGGATGAAAACTGGAGTGGCTCTGTTTTTTAGGATGACGGCGTATTTTAACAAGGTGGGTTGGCCAGATAAAGCTCCAAAAGATGAAGCAGAGAGGAAAGAGTTCATAGCTGGGCTGCACAAGCAGAAGACTGAGCTTTTCATGGTTCTTATCGAGAAAAAGCTGCTTCCGCTTCGCCCCGGTGTTGCAAAGTTAGTGTCACTTCTTATCTCCTAATGATCATCACTTGTTTTTTTTATCTCTTTGAGTTTGATTTTTAGTGTATGAAACTTTTAACACCAAACTTGGCTTTAATGATATAAGGCTAGCAGTTTTTTGTAAACATATAGATTGACATGTTGTGGTTTATTTTAGAAGTTTATTGATCTAGTAGGTTTAAGTTAAGTGAACCCTCTTGCTAAAAAAATTTGTAGGTTGGTTGATCAAGCTTTAACGAATGGAGTAAAAGTAGCTGTGTGCAGCACTTCAAATGAGAAGGCGGTATGATCAATCAGGTTCTACTACTTCAGTTTCCTGAGACTATAAGCACCATGATCATCATGAGTTTACTTAAACAAGACTACACACAGCACCGTTATTTACATGAATATGCGAGAATCGCCTAGCTTCAACGAATTGTATAATCTTTATTGAAAATGTGAATCTACTTTTGTCTCATTCTGGGCTGGTCTCAGGTTTCTGCTATAGTTTCATGCTTGCTTGGACCAGAAAAAGCCGAGAAAATCAAGATATTTGCTGGAGATGTAGTCCCGAAAAAGAAACCTGACCCGGTAATTAATTTACTCACCTTCCATCCTATCACAATAAGTTTTGCTTGCTTCATCTTGGTTAAAGACTGAGTTATGGAATTTTTGTGTCACAGGCCATCTACAACTTAGCAGCTGAAACCCTTGGAGTTGAACCCTCAAAGTAATTTTTTTTCACATGTAAAGGGAGCCACTTTAGTAAACTCTCTAAAGATTTGCTTTTGTGGCTGTGTAGGTGTGTTGTGGTTGAAGACAGTGGGATCGGGCTAGCAGCTGCAAAAGCTGCAGGAATGACTTGTATAGTTACAAAGAGTGGGTGAGTTTTATTAGAGAGAACCTCTTATAAGATATCATTCATATCAACCAGAAATAAAAATGATCATTCATCTTTGGATTTGTAGATACACCGCAGATGAAGATTTTGAGAAGGCAGATGCTGTTTTCGACTGCATTGGAGACCCTCCAGAAGAGAGATTTGATTTGGCATTCTGTGGAAGTCTTCTCCAGAAACAGTTCGTTAGTTAAAAAAGCACACAAACCACATTGACAAAATTGTATCTATCTCAATTCTCAACATTGGTATGTGTACAAGTGAAAAGTGTATCTATCATTATTCATGTAAAACCATATGATTCAATTACACGTTTATGAAATGAACGGTTTAAATATTTTGGGCTTTGTGAGTTTTGTTGGGTTTTACACCATTATTGCTGATTTCTATGTTAAATTGAAAGGTACAACAACAAACGCCGAAACACAAAGGCTAGTCTTTTATACTGAGACGACGTTAAAGTTCGTTCCTTTTTCTTTCTACAAATTTGTATCTAAATTTTGATGAATTGAGTTTTTTATCTCCATAAAAGCTACGAAATTGTTAAAGCTATGAAGCGATTCTTCAAGCCCATAGAGAAGGAGGGCTCAACAGCGGCTAAGAAACCATGCCTCTCGCCGGAAAAGCATGACGGAGAAGGAGATGGAGTTGGAGAAGAGAAGAACCAAAAAGAGCCGTCCAAGTTTGTGACGTGGAACGCTAATAGCTTTCTTCTTCGGGTGAAAAACAACTGGTCTGAGTTCTCTAAATTCGTCTCCGATTTCGACCCCGATGTCATCGCCATACAAGTGATTTCTTCTGCTTAATATTTTGTTTTTTTTTTTGGATTTATTGGGTCAATTCTGAGCAATGTAGGTAAATGTGCTTAGGTTTTTGTGTGTGGAGCTTAAAAATCATCCTAATCTTCTAGGGTTTTTGTTGAAGTGGTTTCAATTTTCTTGATGTATTTTGCTGACCTTTTTTTGGTGAAGGAAGGTAGTTTATGATGTAAAGAGATACTTTTGCTTGTTGTTTGTTTTGGTGAAGGAAGGTAGTTTGCTCAAATTTAGCTTTAAGTGTTGATCTTTTCAAGTCAATGGTTATAGCTGGTGGGAACATATGAGTTCTGTATAAGTTGATGGTTGCTTAAGATATTCGTTTGCTGTATAGTTTTCTAGTGCTACCAAAGTTAGGCTGCTTTATACATGCGTTGTTAGTATGTCAGATTTTGGGCTTTGGATTAATTCTAAATGTGAGTTCAACTTGTTGATGCAAATTCAGTTACTATTGACACTGCAAATGGTTAGAGCTAGTAGGTACAAAAGATTAGACTCTAATTTAATTTATTTGTGGCTACTGACTATGAAGGTGCTGTTAATTCTTTTAGTGTCATAGTATGTTTGTGGCCAGATTGCGAGCTTAGCGGTTGACTGTTTTCTTAATGTTAGGAAGTAAGAATGCCTGCTGCTGGTGGGAAGGGAAAACCTAAAATTCCTGAAGAGTTGAGCGATGACACAAAAGTTTTGCGTGAGGAAAAACAGGTACCATGGTTCTATATTGACTTGCTTGTTTTTTTCTGTTAATGTCTGTTTATAACATCAACGGAACAGAAAGTTTCAAAATATTTGATGCATTTGCGATTACTAGGAGATTTTGGTGTAGAAGTTAGAATTTAACATTGCAGTGGCATGGTTGAAGACAGATTTAGAAGAATGCTGGAGGAACAAATTCCCTTGTTGTTTGGATAAGGTTCAAGCTTGATAATAGTTCTAGAAAACTTAACTTCTTGTTTTAACTGCAGATTCTGTCACGGGCTCTCTCAAGTCCACCATTTGGAAATTATCAAGTTTGGTGGTCTCTTGCGGACTCGAAGTATGCAGGGACAGCTTTGTTAGTGAAAAAATGTTGCAAGCCCAAAAAAGTTTACTTTAACCTGGACAAATTAGGTATTTTTTTGATAACCTTGTTGCTTGTTCCTTATCTTTACAGGAATCTCTAGCACACTAGCAATATGAAACCATGTTTCTTTTATCTGTCTTATGGTTCTGCCAGTTTTTTACCTCAAAGTTTATGTACTTGGGAGAAATATTTCATTGCTAGATCTAATTGGTGACTAACTTATTACTTTTCATTGTCATGCAGCATCTAAACATGAACCTGATGGCCGTGTTATCTTAGCTGAATTTGAGACATTTCGTCTTTTGAATACGTATTCACCTAACAATGGTTGGAAAGAGGAGGAGAATTCGTTTCAGAGGAGAAGAAAATGGGACAAGAGGATTGTTGAGTTCCTAAACAGAACATCTGATAAACCTCTAATCTGGTGTGGCGACTTAAATGTCAGGTAATGAGGATGTTTTTTTCTACCTTATCTCTTGATATACTCCTTTATATAAGCACTTACAGAATTATAGATGAAAATTTGATGTTTCTTCGATTTGATTACATGCAGTCATGAGGAGATAGATGTTAGCCACCCTGAATTTTTCGCAACAGCAAAGCTTAATGGTTATGTTCCTCCAAACAAAGAGGTAAAGAATACCAGATTTTGTACGATTTATTCATTTTTATTATATATAGATTTATAGAAAAACAGAGCTGGGTCTCAATAAAGTTATGTTTCCGTCAGCCTTTGATATCTCTTCCTTTCTTGTCTCTACATCTGCATTGTGAACTTGTATCGTAGATGACTTTACTACACCTGAACCGAAAGCTTATCTATGAGATGGACTTTAGAATCATACAGTGACGACAGTGATTTTGAATCTTCTGATTATGCAGGACTGCGGACAGCCTGGATTTACACCATCTGAGAGAGGACGCTTTGGTGCAACTATGAAAGAGTAATGCATTATGTCTTTGCACTGCGAAGTCTTAGTACTTTCTAGAATAGAGATTAATTATAGTCACTGAACATCTGATTCTAAATTATATCCGTGGTTTTTGTTACAGAGGAAGGCTTGTTGATGCATACCGGTATCTACACAAGGAGCAAGACATGGAAAGTGGCTTCTCATGGTCGGGAAATCCCATTGGAAAGTGAGTAGATACTACATTATAGTTTTATTTCTCATGGCATGGAGTCCAGCACCTCTGCATGTTTCCAAAGATGTATATTGATTTTTTTTTGTTTAATTGCCATAGGTATCGGGGAAAGAGGATGAGGATCGACTATTTTCTTGTCTCTGAACAGCTCAAAGACCGTATAGTTGCTTGTAAGATGCACGGTCGTGGGATAGAGCTTGAAGGTGACATACACTAGATAAAAATATATAACGCCTGTTCATCACACAGATTTATAGAAGATTATTGTTTAGCTCTTTTGCAACAATTTGCTTCTTGATATGTTTCAGGTTTCTATGGGAGTGATCACTGTCCGGTTACACTCGAGTTTTCAAAGCCATCTTCAGAAACGGAACAGAACCAGGTTTCTAACTAAAAGACAAATCTTCCTCTGTATTAGAACATAAAGAGCTTATGTTGTCAGAGTTAAGCTTAGAAGATCTCTTAACTTCCTTTGCCGAGAGAGGCATTATAGATTAGGTTGATGTTATTGAGAGTGAGACACCTATTTGGCCTAGCTACCCTGAATCCTGATCATGAGCTATTAGAAGTACTTATACTTATTGTTGTGCTTATCTTAATACGCTTCATTTTCCAAAGAAATGTAGAGATAATTTTTAATTGTGAATCTTCATTTAATTATTTTTATCTTAATATGCTCATTTCCAAAGAGTAAGAGCTTTTTTTTTTGTTGGTGTAGTTTTAAGCATATTATACCCTTTGCTTTATTGCGTCGTCAGTGGTGGGTAGAGGCAACATTCGTTAAACCAAGGGCTCATATTCATATAATATCACATCTTTAGTCTTCAACCAAACAAAAAAAACCACAACTTTTATTATTCTCATTAATACAAAAAACAAAAATGTGTAATGACGAAGAAGATGTAATTATAAACTTTATAATCCATGGTAAATATTACTCTAAAAAATTGGGTATTTTCTTGGTCTTAAAAAAAGGAGTTTTTGAATGTGCAAACGGATTTACAGAGTGGACAAACAACAAATGTGTGTGTCGTCGAATCGAACTAATTAAATGGCAGAATCGTAAATGATAACAAAACCAGTGTCCTTTAAAGGAAATAAACCCTTGTTTACTCAGTAGTGTTCTTTACTTGTTTTAATACTGAGAAATCACAATCTCTTGCTCTGCCCCAAACCCCATCCCAACCCCCTTAAAAAAAAAATACAATCTTTTTTTCCTCTGTTTCTTTAATCCAATAAAAAACAGAGAGACCTAAGAAACGAGATCAAAGCCCGTCGTTTTTTTCGAGGAAAAGTGAATTGACCCTTTAAGAAAGTTCATCTATTGGCCGGAGAAATGGTGGAGACTCGTCGAATCTCTTAAAGATTTGTTTTTTTTTTCCTCTCTGCAAAATTTTTGTTCTCTGTTTATGCTCTGTAATGGCGTTTTAATTAGTAGTACCCATAAGCAGAGAGTGAAGCAATTTTGTAAGAAAGGTCTTTGTTTTGTTGCTTTGGGTGTGAGAGAGAGATATGGCGGTTTCAGAGCAGAGTCAAGACGTGTTTCCATGGCTTAAATCGTTGCCGGTTGCTCCAGAGTTTCGACCTACTTTAGCAGAGTTCCAAGATCCGATCGCTTACATTTTTAAGATCGAAGAAGAAGCTTCTAAGTACGGAATCTGCAAAATTTTGCCTCCAGTGCCTCCTCCTTCCAAGAAAACCTCGATTTCTAACCTCAACCGTTCTCTGGCGGCTCGAGCGGCGGCGAGGGTTCGTGACGGAGGCTTCGGCGCGTGTGATTATGACGGTGGTCCTACATTCGCCACACGCCAACAGCAGATCGGGTTTTGCCCTAGGAAACAGCGTCCGGTGCAGAGACCCGTGTGGCAGAGTGGAGAGGAGTACTCTTTTGGTGAGTTCGAGTTTAAAGCTAAGAGCTTTGAGAAGGCTTATCTCAAGAAATGTGGCAAAAAGAGTCAACTCTCTGCCCTAGAAATCGAAACCCTTTACTGGAGAGCCACAGTTGATAAACCCTTCTCTGTTGAGTATGCCAATGACATGCCTGGCTCGGCTTTTATCCCTCTGAGTCTGGCTGCTGCGAGGAGGAGAGAGTCCGGTGGTGATGGAGGAACAGTGGGTGAGACAGCTTGGAACATGAGGGCAATGGCTAGAGCCGAAGGATCACTGCTTAAGTTCATGAAGGAAGACATTCCTGGAGTTACATCTCCAATGGTTTATATTGCTATGATGTTTAGTTGGTTTGCTTGGCATGTGGAGGACCATGACCTTCACAGTCTTAATTACTTGCATATGGGGGCCAGTAAGACTTGGTATGGCGTGCCAAAGGAGGCTGCTCCGGCTTTTGAGGAGGTGGTTAGGGTTCATGGTTATGGTGGAGAGCTCAATCCTCTTGGTGAGTATCTTGTAAAGGTTAATTACTGTTAAGTGAGTGTGACTTATAGTTGCTCAATGTTTAAATTTCTTGTTCTGATTTTCGTTTGTGTTGTGTCTCTGTCTTTTTGTTTCTTTTAACTGTTTTTTTCCTCCAAAAGTTGGCGAGGGAAGTAGCTACTTATGTAGTGTATGGAAGAAAACTAAATGGTTATGCCTCTTATGTCGTATTCTTACCAGTGACATTTTCAACTCTTGGTGAGAAGACAACTGTGATGTCTCCTGAAGTATTTGTTAAAGCTGGAATACCATGTTGCAGGTAATGGTTTTTATGTTTGTGCTCTGTTCGTCTTATCATCTTGCTGTTCTCTTCTTTGGTCAGAAAATAAACTGTTAAGTGCTTCCATTTTATTCATCTCTCTTTTAAATTGATTTGGGAATCCAGGGGCACCATTTTTTCTCCTGGTTTTTTACTCAAGTGGTTTGTTTGTATCAGGTTAGTGCAAAATCCTGGAGAGTTCGTTGTCACCTTTCCAGGAGCTTATCATTCGGGGTTTAGTCATGGTGAGTAATCAACCTTTATTTAGTATCTTCAAGTTACTCCTCTCAAGACTTAATATGTTGAAATAATTTATATTATCCAAAAAACAATGTTGGGGGTTACAGGATTCAACTTTGGAGAAGCATCTAATATTGCTACTCCCCAGTGGTTAAGAATGGCGAAAGATGCTGCCATCCGGAGAGCTGCAATAAACTACCCTCCAATGGTTTCTCATCTCCAGCTACTATATGACTTTGCACTGGCTCTGGGTTCTAGGTACTCTTTCATTTTTATTTACACAATCCAACTTTTTAAGCTGCTTGAAGGGATCATATAAGGTATGGTTTACTCATTGCAGAGTGCCAACAAGCATCAACGCCAAACCACGGAGTTCTAGATTGAAAGATAAGAAAAGAAGCGAAGGAGAAAGATTGACCAAAAAGCTATTTGTTGATAACATTATCCGCAACAATGAATTACTCTATTCTCTCGGAAAAGGATCCCCAGTGGCCCTTCTCCCACAGAGTTCCTCGGATATATCAGTTTGTTCTGACTTGCGAATCGGATCCGATTTGAGAACTAACCAGGAAAGCCCAATCCAATTAAAGTCTGAGGACTTAAGTTGTGATAGTGTTATGGTCGGTCTCAATAACGGCTTAAAGGATACAGTTTCAGTGAAAGAAAAGTTTACATCTTTATGTGAAAGGAACAGAAATCATCTGGCAAGCAGGGGAAAGGAAACTCAAGAAACTCTGTCTGATACTGAAGGGAGGAATAATGCTGGAGCTGTTGGGCTTTCTGATCAAAGGCTTTTCTCTTGTGTTACATGTGGAGTCTTAAGCTTTGATTGTGTAGGTATTGTTCAACCTAAAGAAGCATCAGCTGGATATATCATGTCTGCAAATAGTAGCTTCTTCAACGATTGGACAGCTGCTTCCGGATCTGCAAATCGTGGCCAGGATGCAAGATCACTTCATCTGCGTAAGTTCCAAATCGCACTCCCTTTCAATTGCTGCTTTTTAGCATTTATCTTAACTTTGTTTCATCATGCAGAAAGCACGGAAAAGGATGATGTAAATTACTTCTCCAATGTTCCAGTTCAGACTGGCCATCAAAGAACTTTAACAACTTCCCTTACAAACGCGCATAAAGATAATGGTGCTCTTGGGCTGTTGGCTTCAGCATATGGAGACTCTTCTGATTCCGAGGAAGATGATAACAAAGGTTTTGATGCCTCTAATTTGGAAGGGGAAAGAAAAAAGTATGATCAAGAAAGTGCTTGTGCATTTAAAGCATCATCTTTTGATACAGATGGGAATGAGGAGGCCAGAGATGGTCAAACTTCTGATTTTAACAGCCAGAGACTTACCAGCAAACAGAATAGTTTAAGCAAATGCGGAATTTCATCACTTCTGGAAATAACTTTACCATTCATTCCAAGATCTGATGATGATCCCTGTCGGTTGCACGTGTTTTGTCTTGAGCATGCTGCAGAAGTGGAACAGCAACTTCGTTCTATTGGGGGGATTCATATAATGTTACTATGCCATCCAGGTAACAATAAACCTACAAGATTCCTTTTTACTAGTCTTGTGACATTGTTCTTTATCAATTATGCAAAAAGCTTGAGTCAGTTTCATCATTTAGACGCACAATCTTTGCAGAGTACCCAAGGATAGAGGCTGAAGCAAAGATAGTTGCCGAGGAGTTTGCCATCAATCATGAATGGAATGATACTGAATTCAGGAATGTTACCCGAGAGGATGAGGAAACGATTCAGGCAGCATTAGATAATGTTGAAGCTAAGGGTGGTAACAGTGATTGGACCGTAAAATTGGGTATTAACCTTTCTTACAGCGCTTTTCTCAGTCGCTCTCCTCTGTACAGTAAGCAGATGCCTTACAACTCCGTCATATACAATGTGTTCGGTCGCAGCTCTACGGCAGTGAGCTCACTCTCAAAGCCTGAAGTATCTGGTAGAAGATCTTCCAGGCAGAGGAAATATGTTGTTGGAAAATGGTGTGGTAAGGTTTGGATGTCGCATCAGGTACTTTTAACTAACCAGAAACCATACTAATTCAGACATTAGTACACTTCTGTTTCTCCTTGGTTTTGTTATAATTAAGACTGCTTTTCTTTTCTCTCTTCAGGTGCATCCCTTTTTGCTTGAGGAGGACTTAGAGGGGGAAGAATCTGAAAGAAGTTGTCCTCTCCGAGCTGCTATGGATGAGGATGTCACTGGAAAGAGATTGTTTTCTTGTAATGTTTCTAGAGATGCAGCCACAATGTTTGGAAGGAAGTATTGTCGGAAGAGAAAGATAAGAGCAAAGGCTGTGCCACGCAAGAAGCTTACTGCTTTTAAGAGGGAAGATGGAGTTTCTGATGACACATCAGAAGATCATTCTTATAAGCAGCAATGGAGGGCTTCGGGGAATGAAGAAGAGTCTTATTTTGAGACAGGGCACACAGCTTCTGGTGATTCGTCAAATCAAATGTCTGATCAGGGCAAGGAGATTGTCAGACATAAAGGTTATAATGGATTTGAGTCAGATGATGAGGTTTCAGACCGTTCACTTGGAGAAGAATATACTGTAAGGGAATGTGCAGTTTCAGAAAGCTCAATGGAGAATGGCTTTCAGCCATATAGAGAGAAGCAGGCAATGTATGATGATAATGATGATGATGGAGATGATGATGATGATGATGATATGTACAGGCACCCTAGGGGGATTCCAAGGAGCAAACGGAGTAAAGTTATTAGGAATCCAGTTTCATATGATTCAGAAGAAAATGACGTTTATCAGCAAAGGGGACGAAGAGTATCGAGAAGTAGTAGGCAAGCAAATCGGATGGGTGGTGAGTATGATTCAGCAGAGAATTCTTTCGAGGAACTAGATTTTTGCACTACAGGGAAAAGGCAAACCAGGTCCACAGCCAAAAGAAAAGCAAAAACCGAGACAGTTCAGAGTCCAAGAGACACAAAAGGTCGCTCTTTGCAAGAATTTGCATCTGGAAAGAAGATTGAAGAATTGGATTCATACATGGAGGGACCTAGCACACGGCTTCGGCTGAGAAATCAAAAGCCATCAAGAGGGTCTTTTGAATCTAAACCAAAGAAGGTTGGTAAGAAGAGAAGTAGTAATGCTTCCTTTTCCAGAGCTGCAAGTGAAGAATATGTGCAGGAAGATGAAGAAGCAGAAGCAGAGAATGAGGAAGAGGAATGCACAGGGTACCAATGTGACATGGAGGGTTGCACAATGAGTTTCAATACAGAAAAACAGTTGGCTTTGCATAAAAGAAACATCTGCCCTGTTAAAGGCTGTGGTAAAAACTTCTTTTCACACAAGTATTTGGTGCAACACCAGCGTGTTCACTCAGATGACCGTCCTCTGAAATGTCCATGGAAGGGGTGTAAGATGACGTTCAAGTGGGCTTGGTCTAGAACCGAGCACATAAGGGTTCACACAGGCGCTAGGCCTTATGTTTGCGCTGAACCGGGTTGTGGTCAGACATTCCGGTTTGTCTCAGATTTTAGTCGGCACAAAAGGAAGACTGGTCATTCGGTTAAGAAGACGAAGAAAAGATAATCTAGGCTCTGAAATGGAACCTATCATGAAGAGATAACTCCATTGATCTACTAGAAGAAAATTGGATTTGTAGGGATTTTAAGGGTTTTCTTAGTATGTACGTCTCTCTGGTTCTTTGTCAGTGGAAGTCTTAACTCTGGGAAGAGCCATCCATTGTTTCAGTTTCGGACAGATTCTCTCTATCTCTCTCTCACTCTCTCTCTCTCTATCTATCTCTTTGTTTGTATTCCCTGTAACAATATCCTGGTGTAGGAAACTATTGCGTTCACGTTAAGATGATATTTTTATGATTAGACATTAAAAAAGGCCAAATCTCGGCTTTCATAACAAAATCTTGTCGTTGTTTGGATATTGTTTGCTTGGTCTCTCTTCTCGTTACATAAAATCTCCCATGCGCACTAGCAATCTGAAACAACCTTGTTAATGTCTCTCTGTTTCTTAATATGGTTCTTGACCTGAAAGAGGAGTAGAAACATAGCTAGATCATGAAGTCTCTAAGCATATTATCTAGTGAATCTCAATCTCTTATAAATTTTGATAATTTGATAATTGATATCGCCATGGACTTCAATATCATATGACCTTTGATAAAGAAAGACTCAACATACCAAATTGCTAGTCAAACATTCAGATCTGTCTCTGACTTGAGCCGGCATAAACGGAAGACAGGTCATTCAGTCAAAAGGACCAAGATTTTTAGGCCTTAACATGGAATCTAATCTTATATCATATAGAGATTTTGATCCATTCGGGTTTAATTTAGTCAATGTCTTAACAGTTGGAAAACATCCATTTTAGTTGCGTAACAGAGTCTGTCTTCTTAAATCTTGACTGTTGAATTTGAGTCTATAACAACAATTCTGGTTGATAAAATAAAAGGGGCTGCTTGTTCAATTAGAAAACTTCAGGTGTATTTGATCATGAAATCTTGAAACTATGGACTTGACTACAAAATTAATTGGAAATATCTGAAACGCATAATCTTATAAAAACTGTGCATGTAAAAGTGTGTAAACTATTGGGAACTTGTCAACATATTAAAGCAACGGTTTCTTTTGGGATTCGCATTCGTGACGTTATTAGTTGTTAGACGACAATAACATAAATATTTACACACAAAAAAAAAAAAAAAGGAAACAACTTTATTCTTCTTCTTCTTCTTCAATTCCTCCCTGAAATTAGGGTTTCTTTTTGTTTTGTAATGTGAATTGTAAGAACCTTAACAAAAAATGGTAAATTCCGAAGAAATGGAAGATGGGTTTGACCCAAAACCTGTTTCTCGACCTTCCTCCGGTGACTCATCTGCTGGTCGATCTCTCTCTGATCTTAATCACGCGGCGGAGGAGGACTTGAGTGACCGGTTTAAGAATGTGGGTTTGAAGGAAGTTAGGAAAGAGCAGAGTGAGACGATGATGAGCGTCTCCGAGGGAAATGGAGGTTTAGATTCGAATGCAGTAGTCACCAACCAGGAACAAGAAGAAGATGGAGATGGCTATGGTTGTGTTTACGGTGATGGTGATGGTTGGAGTGAGAACGAGAGTGAGGAGAACGAAGCTGTGTATCCAGTGAGGCCAGGAGCAGAGGATTGCTCGTTTTATATGAGAACAGGGAGCTGCAAATTCGGATCGAGTTGCAAATTCAATCATCCTCTTTCGAGAAAAATCCAAGTAAAACTTCACTTCTCACACTCATTTCTCCTACGCTTTTGTATTTTCTCTTTGTTTTGCACGGTTGCTTCTGACAAGGACATTGGTTCTTAATTGTGTTTTTTAATTGTTCTTAGAGAAGATTTGTTTATAAAGATACTTAATTTTTTAATCAGTGGCACATGCTTATATGTATCTCTGTGACTGTGAGTAATTAGTGCTGCTATGTGCTTCGTTGCTATACCAAAAGGATAAAGCTTTATTTTGTTTTTGCTTTCTGATGGAACCAATCTATGGTCAAAAGTATTAAGGGATCAAAAGTATTGAAAACTTAGAGCTTTTATTTTCGTTTAATGATGGTTCATTGTTTTGAAGATTGCTAGGGATAATAAAGTAAGGGAAAAGGAAGAGGATGGTGATAAACTGAGACTAATAGATTGCAAGGTTGATTGACTTCTCTTTTTAACCTTGTTACATGCTCTTATCATGTATCAGACAGTTGTTTTCTGAAGTTTCATTGTGTTGTCTTGATCTGCATTTGCAACGCTTTTTAAAGTTTCTGTTTAAGTCTCCCTTTGTCTTTGTTTTTTTCCAATGTAAGTTACTGATATTCAGTTCATGTGCTCCAATTCCTTGCATGAGGTTTACAGTATTACTTTCGGACTGGAGGTTGCAAATATGGAGAAAGTTGTAGATTCAACCATACCAAATCAAAGTCTTGTCTGGCCTCAGTACCCGAGCTTAACTTCCTCGGCCTTCCTATCAGACTGGTATTGCCATTTCATTGATACTTATGGCTATTTTATGACATTCTGTTGCTATTCTTTTCAAAGCTATATTAATGATGCTAACCATTGGCAGGGAGAAGTAGAATGCCCATACTACATGCGCAATGGCTCCTGCAAATTTGGAGCTGAGTGCAAATTTAATCATCCTGATCCTACAACCATAGGAGGAACCGACTCCCCATCATTTCACAGTAATAATGGTGTATCCGCTGGATCTTTTTCTCCAAAGTCCACATTCCAAGCAAGTTCAGCTTCTTGGTCTTCACCGAGGCATGCAAATGGTTCTACGCCTTTTATTCCAGTCATGCTGTCACAAACTCATGGAGTTCCATCTCAAACTCCGGAGTGGAATGGCTATCAGGTAGTAAGTACTTTAGCCCTGGATCTTTATAATATCTATTTTTATTCGATTTATCTACAATGATTTTATCTTGTCTTTTATATTTGCTTAGGCTTCTGTGTATTCATCAGAAAGGGGTGTGTTTTCTTCCTCCAACATAAGTATGTTATCACAATACCATCATCAAATGCCTGCCGAAGAATTTCCAGAGCGTCCTGACCAACCTGAGTGCAGTTATTATATTAAGACCGGGGACTGTAAGTTCAAATTCAATTGCAAATACCATCATCCTAAAAATCGATTGCCGAAACTGCCTCCTTATGCTCTCAATGACAAGGGATTACCCCTTAGACCTGTAAGTTCGTTTTTTCTTTCTTCTGTATTAGAAAGTTGCGGCCTATTTATTGATTCTTTAATGTTTGATATACTCTTTGACTCTTTGTAATATCCCTAATCTATCTCTCGGGTTTTGACTGATTGCTTGACTGAAATACAGGATCAAAACATCTGCACTCACTACAGCCGGTATGGCATTTGCAAATTCGGACCAGCTTGTAGATTCGACCATTCTGCCCAGCTGCCTTATCCGACAGGAAACTCCCAGACCATTGTAGAACCTTCTCAGGTCGGTGCAAATGGGGATGAAACTGACGGTTGGAATTGACAACCAAACTTTCAGGAACTTATATAATTGACACCTTTTGTCTCTATCATGGGTTTGAAATTTCATAACAAAACGTTTAGGTAAATTATACAATCCAAACAGTATCTATGTCGCAAGCCTATCCTCAATGCGTTTGACAAGTTTTTACCAAGGAGCTTTGAAATCTGTAACTACCCTTTGACTCTTGAGGTTAAATGGAGCCTGCTTGTTACTTTCATTGGTTGTTTACTTGTTTGAATGAAACCTAATTTCTAAATTTAACCATGGTTGGTTCATATTGAATGTGATGGGAGCTAAACCCTGGAACAGAGTTGCTCCAGGGTTATCTGCTGAAGCTGCAATTAGACCTTATAGATTAAAAGTTTTGGAACCTGAGGGATTTGAATGTTTGCTATGTCTCAAGGCCACGGGTTGGCTTTAAGTAATCATATAATATTATCTTTTATGCAGTATGACATGCCTACAAGGGACATGACTTAGTCGTTAATGTTTCCCTAACTAAGAAGCAGCAAGAATAACACGTATATATTCATAAACCCAAATGTGGCCAAAACAAAGAGAAACTCAACGAGCAAGAAGAAGAAGAAGAAGAGAAGTTTCCTACAACACCATAGACGATCACAGGTAAGGTCGATGTAGTTTGTTGAAGAATCATTCGGTTCCACGGTTCTGCTCGCGAATCGGGTTTCTCACAACAGAGCCAGTACCAGAGTTAACGGAAACAAAGCCATTTCTTCTGCACAAAGCAAAAGAGAGGCAAAACAAAACCTGAGTTAAGCGGAGAGAATTCTGCTTTATCGATGAATGAACAAATCACATCTCGAAAAAAGAAAGTACCTTTTTGGATCGCGGGGTTTGAGATTTACGTTTGTGATGTTGGTTGTTGGTTTTTTGTGGTTCTTCAACTCTTGGAGGTGTAACGATACTCTCAGGTCCAGCGACAGCGGTTTTCTTAGTCTTCTTGTCATCACGAGCGTTGTTGAAAATAACAGTGAATCCTTGTGCTGATGCAGGATTAGTCGCGTCCCATTCCCCAAATTTTGGCAATTGTCTCCCTCCTCTATTACCCTACAAACCCGCAATAACAAAATTGTTCATGCAGAGAATTCAGAAACATTTATCGCACAAATTCAAGACAAACAAAAACAAAAAAAAAGACAAAGATGAATCAGAATACGATAAAAAGAAATAAAGATATGAAATTGTTATTACCGTAGCCATCTTGGATATTAGAACAGAGGATGTCCTGATATCAAAACAGAGGATTTCGTATAGGAAATACAAGAACAATTAAGAGAAACGTGATGATGATGATGATGATCTGGGAACAAGGAGAGATGAAAATGTAATATAGAAGAAGAAGAGAGGAGAAGAGGTCGTCGTTTGAAAACAAAAACCAAATCTCCTTTTTTTTTTCATAAAAGCTCTCTCTCTCTCTGACTCTCACCTTTCTTTCTTTCTTCCTTCCCGCGGCTTTCCCCAACAGAAATACCTATATTTAATTCATGTAACTTTTATTTTTAAGAAAAGAAAAGGAAAAAAAAAAAGTCATTTTAGAGCAAAAGACTAAAACAAATCGTGGAGCATGCCAAAAGTTCTTGCCTTTTCCACCTACTCTCTATTCAATAATATTGTTATTATTTTGGCAAATGTTACATTGCCTCTAATTAGTTGAACAAAATAGAGACAATGTATTATGGTTTTATTCAAATGTGGATTTATCTATATATGATAAAATAAGTATTAAAAAGAAAAGAATTGCAAAATTCTAATTAATCCATGTTAAAGTTTTGAGGTTGGACGTAGGCTATATAGCTCAGTTTTAGTCTTTAACTAAATAGTCTAGAATATAAAAAAAATGTGTCTACCTAGGTTGTGTGGGCTATTAGTTTTACTATATGGCGTTCTAAGATGGTTGGCGTTCAACTTCGTCAACTTATAATAATTTGCATTTCATGAAGATGTTAGAACTTTTCAACTTAATACCAAAGACGCCAATGTGGATGTAGTGGGAACATATATGACTTAACGTATCAGCTTAATTAAAAGACTGTTGAGAATATACATGTTACTTATAATTTATATGCGAAATCAAAGTTTCTTTTTTGGGGCCATACAATATTATATGATTTTCGATTGATAAGTTCTTTTCCACTTTTGTCTCCAACTGCAATGACCTAATATCCATGATTGAAAACTATTCCTTCCCTGATTGGTTTATTTTTGCAGTAGTGAGAACTCTTTTGTTGAACCTTTAAAAAGGTCTCGTCTCGATAACTTTGATAAAATGGAGTTTGATGCGAAGAAATTTAAAACAAGATGCATGCCTAACAGCGTAATTGAGGCATAACATAAAAGCAATGAACCTAAAACCATTTTTTTGATTTGTTTACCTATGCCCATAATAAGAGTCATTCGATGTTATATAGCAAATTAATTTGCAAGAGCTAATGAAACTCCAACGATCGAGATAGATAAACTCAGAAAATGAATATAAATTTTAGAAAAACTTGTATCAAAGTCGATTTTGAATGAACAAATAAACTTATAAACTACTAGTGAAGATGTGCCAACCTTTCAAGTAAATCAACATGAAGAAGCTAACCCATTTATGTCGGTCATGAATACTTGGTGTTGGTGATATCACTATCTAGTCCGTTTAATTTAGTATCTCGGAGTTTACTTGAAAGGTTGGCATATTATTATTATACTCCTTCTATTTCACGACGAATGTCATTTGAGAGTTTTATTTTTGGTTCATAAAAAATGTCATTTTAATTTTTTAATGTATTTTTACACTAAATTTCTTTTTTATCCTTAATTTAAAACAAATTAAATCCATAAATCACTTATTAAATAGGAACATAGGTGTATATTTTAATGTTTTCTTAATTTGTGTGAAATGTGTTAAAATGACATTTTTTGTGAAATGGAGAGAGTATTTCTCTAGTGACACCAAATTAATGTAAACACTTAAATGTCTATTTTAGTATAAACCAATTAATTTTGAAAGAAACCACAATATGATATAGAGTTACAAAATTTAAATATTCTCTCATAACTCATAAGATATCTTATGCCAATATATAAAATGAAAACACTTCGGTGAGACCTTTAATAAATAAAAGAATCATTAACTCATGTTGTAAAAAAGAAATAAGCAATTACTACTACTGATCTATGACCCCCCTCGAGAATGTAAAACAAAACACTGCATGGATCTAACACCGACAGTGGCGTCATGGTCTTAAATGCTCCATTGTTATTTCCAAATCTGAATTGGTTCGAACCTCCATGCTTAGTAACTAGTTACAAAAGTACTGGCCAAATTACACTAGTAAAAGACTTTACAAGATTAGACAATGCCTTAACGTCAAACAAGGAACTCTCTAGATTTCTCTTCTCCCTTTGACATAGCTATTATTATCATTGACCTAATATCTTCAACTTTAAAACAAAATTTGCAACAAGATTAATGGGCTCGCATTTACTGCATACTTTGCACAGAACACGAGTAGGTTATGAGTCCTTGTCCTTATGTATGGTGGTCACTAAGAAAATAAATTATGATGGCAAAATGTAACCGACCAATATGAGGAAAAAGATGGTCCAACATGTATGTATATGGTTTCTTATTATGCGATAATAGGTAAATAGCATCAACAATATGATATTAGAATTGTCTTTTAGTACATTGTTTATAGCTATAACTATCATATTAGCATCAAAATATAATTGAGACTATGTTTTCTTTTAACTTCTTCTTTTTGTTACAAAAAATCAAAATATAAATGAGACTAATGAACGTCTTATATAAGTATTACAATCATTGTCATGATACAATTATAGGTATGTAACGTAACAAAACAAAACACTACCACATATAATGTGAAATGACAAAGAAAACATACAATTTTGGTTATGTAAAGAACAATTTTACCTTAAATATGTATAGTTAGATGTATGCTAAACCGACCATGCATGGAGTACATTTTTCAATCGCCGAACTTATTAGCTGCCACACGATTGCGAGAGAATGAACATGAGATAAGATGGCTGAGATATTAAATGGCTAACTAGTAACTAAAGATCTCTCCACAGCCAACTACATTAACCACCTCTCCATGCCTCACCTACTTTATCTCCTATTTACACCTCGTGTTTCTTCTTTCTTTTTTTGTTTGTTTTATAATATCCAATAGTATGTCTTCCCATATTACTGTGTATTATAATTCATATTGTATTATTACCGTATAACTGAATAGGTCCAATGCCTATGTATAGTGCGATGATCGTTTTTAACATCGTTGTCACTAGTTAAATCTTCTGTCTCATTTTCACAATTTGTATTTAAAACCTCAACTATTATGGGTTTATAATATATAAACATAAACAAAACAAAACAAAACATCATCTTTGTGAAAAACAAAAAAAAAAAGTTATTAAAAATCAGTCATATATACTAGAACATATATATGTAAAAATAGACCACATACAAAGATTTATCGCTCCACAAAAATAAAATCATCCAATCTAATTCCCAAATATCTGTGGGGTTTAAGATTACTCTTGCTCTATTCTTTTTGTTCTTTGTTAAAAATACAATGGCCACAATTTTTATCCAAGGCTACAAATGGTTCCTCTGAAAGTTATAAGGGCTAATAAAAATACCAAAAATGACTATATTTTTTATTTGGTACATATGTATATAGCTTAAATAAATTCTTCAATCTTCACAATAATAATAATAAATTAAATTTTTATTTAATACTTATTTTTATTTAATACTTTGGATCTCATCTACCAGAAATTTTGTTGAAATTAAATACTGTACACAAGTTACATATATATTTTGTTTTATTTGCTCTCAATGCATTATCACCACTGTATACACAACACACACGACCATTCTCCTAAAACCTCTAATTTCCAAATCTCACTTCCTTCCACAATGCCTTCCTCCATCTCTCTCCTCCTCACAACCGCCGTGATCCTCCTCTTCTCCACCATCTCCGCGGCGTTGCAACCAGTTCCTAACGTCCACCGTCCATTCACCAAAATCTACGCCTTCGGTGATTCTTTCACCGACACCGGAAACTCACGCTCCGGCGAAGGACCAGCCGGATTCGGACACTTGTCAAGTCCTCCGTACGGTATGACATACTTCCGACGGCCAACGAACCGTTACACCGACGGCCGTCTCACCATCGACTTCGTGGCACAGTCTATGAACTTACCGTTTCTGCCACCGTACCTTGGCTTAAGATCAACCAACGGTAGTAACAACGGCACAGCTACGGACGCTCACGGAGTTAACTTCGCCGTCTCCGGAGCGACGGTGATAAAACACGCGTTTTTCGTGAAGAACAATCTAACGCTTGACATGACTCCTCAGTCTATAGAAACAGAGCTTGGCTGGTTCGACAAGTACTTAGAGACACTTGGAACGGATCAGAAGGTTTCTTTGTTTAAAGATTCTCTCTTTTGGATCGGAGAAATCGGAGTTAACGATTATGCATACACCCTTGGATCTACTGTGACAAGTGATACCATTAGAGAACTTAGCATTTCAACATTTACAAGGTTTTTGGAGGTAATCTTGAATTAATTAATCTTCTCTCTGTTACATATAACTAAACATGTAATTTGCATTTTTGGCTGGTCATGATACTGAAGTGATTCAACCGATTATAGACAGAGCAAGAAGTCCGTGAACATGTACCTAGTTAACCTGACCGGTTTGGTTTTTTTTGTTATGTTTCGTTAATAACGTTTTTGAATCATATAATTATAACTGCAGACATTGTTGAAGAAAGGTGTGAAATATATGTTGGTACAAGGACATCCAGCAACTGGATGCTTGACGTTAGCAATGTCATTAGCCGCAGAAGATGATCGAGACAGTCTAGGATGTGTGCAGAGTGCCAATAACCAAAGTTACACTCACAATCTTGCTCTTCAATCCAAACTTAAACAACTTAGGTCAGTTCTTTTTAAAAAAAAAAAATATACTACTCTGGTTTATACATATGCGAGCAAAAATATATAAGTTTGCATATATGTTATAGGGTTACTAATTCTAAGATTTAAATTATTTGGATGTTTTTGTTTTTGTTTTTATTTTATGGTAATCGTAGGACGTTAGTAAACACATAGACTCATCTAAATTCGTGAAAAAAACACCCTTAAATGATATAATTAAGATTGCATTTTATAAGAACATCAAAATTTGCTGCGAAGTGAAAATTTATTGAACATCAGTGTCATAAGTTTCAAGGTGATTTGATAGGTAAGAGGAAACAAACCTCTCGTGTTTTTGTACTTTACATTTGAAAATTTAAAGACCTGACAAAAGTTTTGACAATCGTGCATTATCTTTAATAGTATGGTACTATAATACTACTTGCTCTCCTCTATATTATGTTCGTTGAATAAAGAAGGAAAGGATATATAATTAAACAATCAAACCAAACTTCTGTTTCTAATGATGGTTATGTAATATATTGCAGGATTAAGTATCCGACAGCCACAATAGTCTACGCAGATTACTGGAACGCGTACCGTGCGGTGATTCAAAACCCTGGCAAGTACGGCATCACCGAGAAGTTCAAGGCTTGCTGTGGAACTGGAGAGCCTTATAACTTTCAAGTGTTCCAGACGTGTGGGTCGGCTGCAGCTACGGCGTGTAAGGATCCGAGTCAATACATCAACTGGGATGGAGTGCACTTGACCGAGGCCATGTATAAGGTCATGGCCGATATGTTCCTCGGCGGCTCTTTCACTCGTCCTAGATTTAGTAACTTGTTGATCAAGAAACTAAACAGTTTGTAAAATAATTATGGGCCTAACGAGTATACTATAAACCTTTTGTTTTGATCTCAAGATTTTTTTTTTTCCGAATGTAGTATACTCTTTTAATGTCACAAAAGTTCTAAATAGCGTTGTTTAAACTATCTCATTATATGATCTTTACAGTTAAAATCTTTTACAACAAGGAGTAACAGTTGTTCAAGACTTTAAATTAATTAACAATCTTTATAGCCCATTTTTCGCTAAATCTTTATTTAATTTTTATCTTTTACTCGATGTTTAGCATAACTCATTTCATTATATGAACTAAAATACAACCGATCGGATTATATATTTCCTCTACTTCTAGTTAGATAGCCCTTAAAGCTTAGTAAAATTAGACATACTAGTTTCTTAAAGATTTTATCTTAACTTTTCATTTTGCTCATTTTTTGTGTGTGTTTTTTTTCATTTTTTGTGTGTTTCTCATGATTCTATACAAAAACGATATCATTGATGATGATCACTTTGGAATATTTGCTTGTATCGACATCTAATTGAGTGGCTAACACATTTTTCAATTCTGTAAATTATAATTGATTTGTGAGCAATTTTCGAAAGCGTTCAATTTTTATATAATAAGATTATTTAAAGAAAAATTTGCATATTTAATAACATAAACTTGTAAATACAACTTTTAAGAATTCCATCAAATTGTAATTCTTCCCCAAATCAGAGTTAGATCAAAATCAAACATTGCTCATCAAAAACATTGTCGTATGCTTCCCACACAAAAAAAAAAAAAATATAAAAAATTAAACGACGACGTTTGACACTTCTTCCTAAAATTTTCTAGTTTTTGAGAGTCTGTCTACTACAGACGAATTCTAGTTTCGCTCTCCCCAGAGTTTTTCTTCTTCCATGGCCGAAGCGACTAAGCACGAGAGAAATCTTCAGAAAATTTTGCTCGAAAAGGTAGCAGAAGCCATCTCTACAATTTCTGATGCGAAGCACGTCGACCAGGTGATCTCCGCTATTCATTCCGTCGCCGTTCTTCTCTTCCCGGTCGATCCATCTTTGTTTTCCGGTAATCGACAGTCACTTGTTCAATCTACTCTAACCTCACTCCCTTTATCCATTCAAAAAGTTTAGATTTTGAGCTGTTTTGTTGTTATGCAACTTAATTGATTCCTTCCCCTTCCATTAAAATTGCAGGGAGTATTGGTGACAAGTACAGAGAAAGGGTTTGTATTTTTGGAAATTTGAAAAAAAATCCACATTTTTACTTGGTTCAGGAACCTGTGGTTTACTTATGATTCTGTATTTGGTCGCCACACAGGTCTGTAGCTCCGTAGTTCCTTCTGCAGATGAGAGAAATGATTGGTCGCAGACGTTCTACAGAGGAGTTGCGTTTCCAACGTTTGCTCGGGTTTTGTTACTTGGTGCGTTTATATCTAATCCACATCTTCTTGATCGTGTTTGGCCCTTGTTGATTTGAGTTGTTTTCTTGATCGAATTTGGATGTTATGTTCAACTAATTCTTGTTTTATTGCAGATGTTGCTTCGGATTGGCTGTCTTGTTTCCCTATTTCAGTGCAGAAACATTTGTATGATGTGTTCTTCTTAGATGGACATGTTATCGAGGTTGTTCAGGTCTTGGTTCCTTTCCTACGTCATGTGGAAAATGGTGGCTTTGATGATAATTCTGTCCAGACTAATGTGGAAAGGTACTCTAAAACACACTTCTGTTTTGGCTATTTCCTTTGGTTCTTTTCCATTGAGTTTCTGTCATCATCTTTTTTTGCTTCATAATTTTTTTGCACCCGTGAGCAAAGTTATTTGAGTCACATTTAGGCGTGTTCTGAATATATCTCTCAGGAGTAACAATTTTAGTTCGAATCTACTAGACAATTTGAAGATGTAGACAGTAACACTTACTTAATGGCCCAGGCGGCAATTTTTGACAGTCTATCTGCATACAAGTCTCTGTCCAGTGATATATTTTTAGTGTAGCTAATGTACATGCTACTATTAGTGTAGTCTTAGCCTGTGGTGATATAATTTTGCTTGTAATGACAGATTGCTTATATTGTGTTTGCTCGAACATGCTGGAGTGCTCAAGATAACAAAGGAAATTGGTGATAGTTATCAAGGAGATGTTTCTAAGAATGGAAGTCTCAAGCCTTTGTTATCGAGGCTATCACAGATCTTGACCTCCATTCCTGATAAAGCACGGTTAAAAGCCCCACCATTACTTTCTTCTCAGTATCCTTTTCTATATGAATACAGACTCTAGCACCTTCAATTTGATGTATGTTAGCCTCCCTAAAGTAACCATATTCCCTTTATTATTACTTATTTATTTCATTGAGGTCAATGTTTATCTTTTACATGAGTCATAAAGCTTGTACTTCAAGCACATTACCAGTCAGCTTCTAAAAATATTGGATAACCGAGCTTCCTGCACTGAGGCCAATAGCACAGTTATTGTTTTATCATTTGTCGGGGAAATATTTTCCCGCATCTGTCGACGCGGATTATCAGGTATATATGCTCTTAGTATTACACTTCTCATCTCACTGTGTTGTTCAATAATTAATAGCTCTATGTTGTCGTTTTTGAGTGTTGTGAATTACCATGGACTTCCTTGTATTCATTATCTGTCCCCTGTAATAGGAAGTTGTAAGAATGTCGATCTGATCCTCGTGATAGACAGGAAAAGGAGAGGTTGTGCCAGAATATATCTACCTTGTACTCTGTTATTGACTGATAAGCTCTAGATGGTGTGATGATGTTTTTTTATTGAAATTTATTTTCGTGACACAAATCATGATGTATTTGAGATTGGTTTTTTTTTAATCTGCAGATTTGCTGTTAAGTGAAGTAACACCTCATGTGTTAGCTCATGTTAGGAGATTAATAAACTCAAAGATGGGTTCTATTGAGATGGAAACATTTCAGTTGGACCCTACTCCCCAGATTTGGTCGAAAGCTATGGAAGCAGTGACAGATCCGTATGCTGTTGAGAAAATGGCTGAACAACTTTTACATCAGCTATATGCTGAGCATGCAAGTGATGTTGAAGCTTTCTGGACTATTTGGACTTTGTTTCATCGCAATGTAATACATCAAGCATCAGTGAGGCAAGTAAAATGAATTCTACGGCAGCTTAATTCTTTTTTAGATACCCCTTTTTCTTCGATTATTTCCATCTTAATGATGTAATATAATGCGATTCGACCAGAAGTGACAATGGAACTGGAACTACTGATTTTTTTCTTTTCAAGGGAAACGATTCGCTGTGTATTGGTTTTCCCATTTCAGTCTATATGCAAATAACTTTGTGTAATTTTTTTTTCAGGTCCATATTTGTAGACAAATTTTTGCTTTGGAAAGTATTTCCTATACGTTGTCTGCGATGGATCTTACAGTTTTCAGTTCTTGAGTGCCCACCGGTTACTAATACACTTGCTAAAGGTGATGTCATGCAAGGACTGCTTGAAACAACCCAGCGACTAGCCTCAGTTTGGTCAAAAGGGGAGTTTCTGCAGTCCGTCCCGTTGGAGCAGCAAGCTTGTATCCTCTTCTGGCTTTTAAATTTGATTTATGCCTATGGATAGAACACTACTTGATAGGGTTTTTATTTTATTTTATCAATAGTTAGATGGTGAAGCAATATTTTAACCTTCCTGTTACTAGTTTAGACTTCTGTTTCCCGTAACAAAGATGCTGCAGATATAACTGCAGCTCTTGGGCTTTGCCTAGAGAACGTGTCAAGAGAGGAACTAGATAGAACGAAGGATGCAATGCACAGTATTCTTCAAGGAGTTAGCTGTACAAATTTTGCTTTTGGTATCTTTGGTAAAGAAATTAAACGCTTTTGTGGTCTTATTTCTCGTTCTTACTGTTGCCAACAGGTAGACTGGAGAACCCAGGAGATCTGGTACGGAAAATGGCTAGCTCTATCGCCTTTGTGTTCTCTAAAGTAATTGACCCGAAGAATCCTCTGTACCTTGATGATTCATTCACTGGGAATGCAATTGACTGGGAATTTGGATTGCATGTGGGAGGGGTCCCATCAATCACAACTACAATGGAAAATGAAGATGGTGAAACCAATACATCAGCCTCCTTAACTGAAGTAAATGGCTCTAGCCGCAGAGATAAGGAAAAGAAAAATCGCAAGAGCAGGAACATTTCAGAATTTGTATTGGCTGATCCTGATGAAATAGTTGATTTGGCTACCTTAAACTGTGAAACAGAGAGTGATAAAGATGATGGTGATGATACAAGTGTCAGCTCTGATAATTCAAGTGTCACTTCTTTGGAACCATATGATCTATTAGATGATGACAAGGATTTGGGGAAACAATTTACGCATTTGGTCGATGTGGTTGGAGCTCTTCGGAAAACTGATGATGCTATTGGGGTATGACATTAAATCTTGTCACTATAACTACAAAGAGAATTGTCTGCAACATTAAATCTTCACACTATAAGATAGTAATTTTTATGGATATTTTGTGTTGCAGATGGAGAAAGCTATATATGTTGCAGAGAAACTTGTGCGAGCATCACCTGATGAACTGACTCATATAGCTGGTGATCTTGCTCGAACTCTTGTACAGGTTCGCTGCTCTGATATAACAATTGAAGGTGAAGAAGATTCAGCAGAAGAGAAGCGGCAAAGAGCTCTAATTGCATTGCTTGTGACCTGTCCATTTGAATCCCTTGAAACTCTTAACAATATATTGTATTCGCCTAATGTAGATGTAAGTCAGCGCATAATGATACTAGATGTCATGGCTGAAGCAGCTCGGGAGCTTGCTAATTCCAAGACCCTGAAACCTAAACACGATTCAAGGGGACCTCTGATATCAAATATGTCAGATCCTCAACCCTGGTATTTGCCTAGCAATGCGAGTACCCCATGGAAAAAGGTCTCCGAGACAGGATCTTTTCATCTGAATTGGGCAAATCGATTTGAGAGAGAGCTACAGTCAAAACCGGGACAGACGAAGAAAGGAAAAAGTCGAAGGTGGAGCCTCAAATCAGCAGACAGAGATCAAAACAGTACTGACTGGTCTCAGAATAGATTTCCACTATATGCAGCAGCATTTATGCTTCCAGCCATGAAAGAGTTTGACAAGAAACGACATGGTGTTGACTTACTTGGCAGGGACTTTGTTGTCCTTGGGAAACTTGTTCATATGCTCGGCGTCTGTATGCAATGTGCATCAATGCATCCAGAAGCATCTGCATTAGCTATCTCTCTTCTAGATATGTTGCAACGAAGGTGCGTCATCATTTTTTATCTTCTTGATCTTATATTCCAGCTTTTGTATATATACTGAATATTTGTGTACTTAACCAACTCAATACAGGGAAGTATGCACTCACCCAGAAGCATATGTTCGAAGAGCGGTCCTTTTTGCAGCCTCTTCTGTTTTGGTCGCTCTTCACCCGTCTTACATAGTGGCAACCTTGGTTGAAGGAAATCTTGATCTTTCCAGAGCTCTTGAATGGATCAGAACGTGGGCTCTTCAAATAGCTGACTCAGACATAGACCGAGACTGTTACACGGTAAGTCATACATTCTCCCATGGGCCAGCCCAGATATTATTAGATATTGATAGCTAAAGGAAATAAAGAGTTTGGGGTTTCTGATTAGTGATTGAAACAATTTAGCTTATGTGTTGTGCTGTGTTGCGTTATGCTGTGTTAGATGGCTTTGTCATGTCTCCAACTTCATGCTGAGATGGCTCTTCAAACTTCCCGAGCTTTAGAATCAACCGGTGGAAGTAGCGGCAGCAGCATTGGACCGATGAACATAAGTCTACCTTCTAATATTTCTAAGCTGACATCAATCAAACTCCCTTCTTCAAATGTTCATCTCTAGAAATTGCAGTCTCATTAATTTGGCTGTAATTGCTTCTGTAAAGTAACATTTCTTCACTAAAGAACTCATGTGTAAATCGATTTTTTATATCTATTACAAAATTTTGAGATTTGATAAGTGAGTGGCATTGTTCCTGATTAGTGATTAAAGAGCCAGGTACCAAATTGAATTTTCTATATTAAGAGTGAAGAAAAACAGAGTAACAAATCTGATTCGGCAGCTGAAGATTATTCAACTTGGGTAACGAATACAGGTGCTAGAAATTGACACTTTCATCTTCGAAGGTTCAGAAAATTTCCATTCATATTTCTATACTAATCAATGATCCAAGGAAAAAGAATCAATTGGTTGCCGCTAAACATCACTAACAACAGGCAACCCCGGGGAAAAAACAAAGCAACAGTTTGATAGATAAATCAGAGAACACGTAAAAAGAAAGATTTCTACGCATAGAAGAAGACAACTCTTAGATTCCTCCTAATGAAGTTTGATAATCCATACCAACTAGTAACTTAGTCAGAATTTCTTTTAGCCTTTTGAATCTTTCCAAGTTTATCTTCTCATATTCCAAGCTGTACCCAATCTTCTGCGCTCTGCTGATGTGTTAACGCCATTAGAAGAAGTTATCACTTTAGTCAATGAATGGTCCCCAAAGAATGAAGTTTGTCACAGAACTCTTCCAAGTCTTTATGGCTAAACCAGTCCTCTTTCATCTGCAAATTATACGCGAATCCCGGGGAGGCATTTCAAGATCCACCAAACACAAAAAGCCACGGACCGTGAACAAGGACAAATGTTTATTGAATGATAAACTTACAAAATATGGCATATCATCGACGTTGAATTTCTCAGGGGCATCTTCTATAAACCGTTGGATGTAGTAGAGGACAAAGCTCCCACATTCCACATCATTTGTCTGCTGCGGAACCTGCAATAAGTCGATCCAATTCTGAGATATAAGAATCAAGAAAAATATATAACTTGGTAGATACACTCAATTACCAATGGCACATGGAGTGGGATTTCATCAACCAATCTTGGGTCTTCAGTTCTTCCCTCGGTTTTATACATGTCCAACACAAACCTGAAATCAAAAAATATGTATAAACATATCATCACATGAGCCTTTACATTCTTCTTTGCTGGTGATTGAAAAAGAACAAGAGAGAGTACTCACTTTCTTATATCTGGTTCAAGCCGCTGCGAAGAGTCAGTTGTTTGTAGTGAATCAAGAAACAACATGCAAGTGTTATCGGAATCAAGATCCTCCCCAAAATTGCAAAAGATCAACAATGTCCAATGGCTCCTGAGGAAATTAGAAGAAAAAAAAAATAGTCAAAAAACAGTTGCATTACCAAAACCATTTCAAGGACATATATAGGCAAAATAAACTTACCAGTAGACGATAGGAAGAAAAACATATTTCTTCGAGAAGATCTGCCTAGTCTTGATGGAATCGAAAACACTGCTTCTAATCTTATGGTTTTCGCTTTTGTACATACTGAACCATAAACAATCTAAGTAGACAAAAGAGTTCTTTTTCTCATCCGAGAAGCCACTCCATACATCCCTATTCACATCACTCAAAAACGTAAGTAAACCAATTAGAAAGAAGCAGAAAAAGAAAAGAAAAACACACACAAATAAGCACAAATCCTTATTTTTAAGAGTAAAAAGAGATATTGCTTACTCTAAGTAACCTACAAATGCTTTGGAATTAAGTTTTTTCCGTAGCTTGGAAACTAAAAACTTGCACTTGATTCTTCGTTTAGACCTTCCACGGCGTATGCATTCATCATAGAAACAAGGAGCAGTTGATTCGAATATCTTCAACTCCTTGGCTCGCTTCGGTTTTGGAAGACGTTTATTCACAACAGCAATATGCTTCCAACATGACCTGTGGTGTAAGAACTCATCTTCCTCACAATCTGTAAAATTATAGACAACCTTGATCAAACTTGAGAGTAAGCCTCTTACAAAGCCAGAACCAAAACTGAACCCAAAAACTTCACAAACTAGACAAAATCAGAACTAATAAGTATATATACATTTCAAGAAAATCTCAAAATTTAAGCCAATGCTCTGAAATGTTTCAGTTGATATACAATTCACTAAACCAATCATAAATACACGATTCACGTTTTCTAAGCCAAATTTAGTAGCATTAACAGTCTCATCACTTACAAAAAAAAATGATACAAACCAATTTCTAAGATAAAATCCGAATCCCCCAAAACCCTAATCCCCAAAATTGCGTAAACCAAGGAAATCAGAAATCTTTTAAAATTTTGAATAATTAAAAAAAAAATCGAGGCTGAGAGATTGAAATTAGATTACCATCAATAATAGTAACACGTCCAGGACTCGTGACGTATCTACTGTTTTTGACACGATTACTTCGTCTTCTTGACATTGCGATCGAATACAAAAAAAAAAAAATTGGATTGAGCTCTCTCTCTCTCAGTGTATCTCTTCTTCTCTTGCTCCTATTTTTTCCCTCTTCTCTTCGTTCTCTTGTTAAAACTTTTATTTATTTATTTTAGTTTCGAGTTTAATATAGCAGAACGATTACGTAAAGGCTCTTTTACCCGTTGATTTTACTTACTTTGTTCTAAGTCAATGATTCAATGGTTAAGATGACTTTGTGTCGCTTTGGTTTCTGTTCTGCATCCTTCATTTTAAGTTTTGTAGAAAATATTTTAAAATAGCAGTTTTGGGCTGAAAGGCCCAATATAATAGGATTTATATGGGCCGATATTGGTCTGACCCGAAATGATCTTCCCTGGGAACGGTTCCCGCTCTTTCTTGTCGATCGAGGCGCCAAATCAAAAGAAGAAAACTTAGATTTCAAGTGGGCGAAGACGAACTCAGATCTAACTGAATCCGAGAGAGAGATGTTTGGGAGGCTGAGACCGCCGCCATCTTCGCCGGACTCTCTGGAAAGATATCCGGCGAAGATCATCAAAGACGATCCTCTCTCCGTCTACGGTACTTATTCACATCCTTTCCAATTTCCAGATTCACAGCATTTGATTTTGATTAACCCTCGATTTCAAAATCATTCCTAGGTTTTAGATGTTCTTGAGATTTGGAACTAATTTTATATCAAAGGGATCTAGGTTTTTGATTGATCTTTGGTTTCTTCTGATGGCGTTGTAGAGACAACACTGTTAAAGCTTAAGCAAGGATCGAAACTAGAGACTTCATTAGAAGAAACAGAAGGTGAGGAGAATCTGTCATTATCATCACCATCGTCTCAGGTCTTCTCTTCGGATACACAATCAGGAGATACTCATGATGCAATGGCTGTAGACTCGTGTGAGAGCTCGAAACAGTTAAAGAACAAGAACCCATCTGTACTGTCCATGTTTTGCAAGTACAAGAATCAAGCTCAACCACGAAACATCAAGGCAGATACTCGAGAGTGATTGTGTAATTGTAAACACACATATCTCAAATTCATGTGTATTGTACTTGATTATGTACAATCTAACCAGACAACTATTATGTCTTGTAAGGATTCTATAGAAAATATGTATCTTTTTCGTCTTCTGTTACCTTTTTTAAGGATGTAATCAAATCAAATCGAAAACACTTGCTATGGTCTCAATCTTGGAACTAAGGCATGCCACGATATCAGATTTGACAGATTACTACATTTCTCATGATTTCGTCTTGAACAAAAACAAAGTTCAAATCCATTTAATCCCATGCTTAAATTAACACATTTCTAAACACTTTCTCAACCATGTGTAGCTGTTTTCTAAATCACTCCATACAATGATCTGTATCCAAGCTTGTTGATAATATTGATCAGTTATAAACATTTGGGGTCCAAATCGAATGTTTGAATATATATGAGGGTTCATCCATAACTAAACCTTATGAAAACTGTTAATATGGGTCTAACTGATCAATCCTAAAACCTGGGTTCGAAATTGAATATTTTCATAAATATGGAGATTCAAAAAAGACTTAACCCTTCTTCTTCTTCACTGTAAATGAAATAAAGCTTATCCACACTCCTCTCACACTTCTTCACTCTCTTAAACCCCTCAAAACCCTGAAGAGAGGCGAATGAATCATGCAGATTTGCCAAACCAATCTCACTTTCACCTTCCCTAACTCAAAAAACCTTAATTTCTGCAAACCCAAATCTCTCTCCACCGGCTTTCAATGGCTTCAGCCTCGTCGCATTGACTTGCCCCCTTGCCGGGGCTTCAGCTCCGACGAATTCCCCGTCGACGAGACTTTCCTCGAGAAATTCGGACCAAAGGACAAAGATACAGAGGATGAAGCTCGACGACGTAACTGGATCGAGCGTGGTTGGGCTCCATGGGAGGAGATTCTCACACCTGAAGCCGATTTCGCTCGTAAATCGCTTAACGAAGGTGAAGAAGTTCCGCTTCAGTCACCGGAGGCGATCGAGGCGTTTAAGATGCTGAGACCGTCGTATAGGAAGAAGAAGATTAAGGAGATGGGGATTACGGAGGATGAATGGTATGCGAAGCAGTTTGAGATTAGAGGTGATAAACCGCCGCCTTTGGAGACATCTTGGGCTGGTCCGATGGTACTCAGGCAAATTCCGCCGCGTGATTGGCCGCCGAGAGGTTGGGAAGTTGATAGGAAGGAGCTGGAGTTTATAAGGGAAGCTCATAAGTTGATGGCTGAAAGGGTTTGGCTTGAGGATTTGGATAAGGACTTGAGGGTTGGTGAAGAGGCTGCTGTTGATAAGATGTGTTTGGAGAGGTTTAAGGTTTTCTTGAAACAATATAATGAATGGGTTGAAGCTAATAAAGATAGGTTGGAGGAAGAATCTTACAAGGTTTGATTTTTTCTAGCTTTTTGGTTACAGTCGTTGTTATTGTTAGGTTTTGCTGAGTGGCTTGAACAATGAGAAATCATTAGCTTAATGGCTAAGAGTAGGATTCTAATTGAGATGATGTTTTTATTTTCATGCAGTTGGATCAGGATTTTTATCCGGGTAGAAGGAAAAGAGGGAAGGATTATGAAGATGGGATGGTAAGAATATTACTACTCCTGGTTTGATTATTTAACTAGTTAGCTCAGTAATGCACTGTTTGAAGTTAATTGCTTTGTGTTTCTGTGCAGTATGAGCTTCCCTTTTACTATCCTGGGATGGTAAGGATCCTTATTCCTAGGCCTTGTTTATTGTGAATAGTGATCGGTGAGATGATTGGTTAGATAAGATATAACGTAATGTCCCTGCAGATTTGTGAAGGTACAGTCACCACTTTACATTTGTACCAGGGAGCATTTGTTGACATTGGTGGTGTTCATGAAGGGTATGTTTGTGTACTGTCAGTTTGTATGTATAGTTAAAATCATATTTGATTGTTGTAATTAGAGGGTATGTAACCTATCAAATGTTGTCTCTAGTTTCAAATGCTCTAGATGAAAGCTTTGAGTTTATGTGTCTGTTTGTTTGTAGATGGGTTCCTATAAAAGGTAATGACTGGTTTTGGATCCGCCATTTCATAAGAGTTGGGATGCATGTTATCGTTGAGATTACGGTAATCTTAAGGCACATTCCTCTTTCACATTAATAAAATCTGAATGGAAATTTTTTTCATTCTCATGTTTTTCCAATCTGTTCTTTCAGGCAAAAAGAGATCCATACCGGTTTCGGTTTCCGTTAGAGTTGCGCTTTGTCCATCCTAATATAGATCACATGATGTATGTAATTCACATTTCTTTCTTTCCCTTTTCATATCCAGTAAAAATTGACATTAGTTCTGTCCTCGTTTGGTCTTGGTTATTGTATGTGTGTTGACTGTGTTTTTACAATCCTGCTCCAGCTTTAATAAATTTGACTTCCCACCAATATTCCATCGTGATGGGGATACTAATCCAGATGAGATACGGGTTAGTAAAATCCTTTACTAGAATGTCAATCCATTTCGTGCTCTCTTGAAAAGTCTTCCTCTTATCTAATACATTGTTTGTACAGCGAGATTGTGGAAGACCTCCTGAACCTAGAAAGGATCCAGGATCAAAACCAGAGGAGGAAGGGCTGCTCTCTGATCACCCATATGTCGACAAGGTATTTTCCTGAACAAAAGGGTTGTTTTAAGTTTCAACTCACTAGGTTATTGGCTTTCTAAATTTTCTGTAACATTCAACACATTTCTTTCCCGTTTGCAGTTGTGGCAGATACATGTAGCTGAGCAAATGATTTTGGATGATCACGAAGCTAATCCTGAAAAATACAAAGGCAAAAAACTATCAGAATTATCTGATGATGAAGGCTTTGATGAACAAAAGGATATCGACCATGGCGAAGCTTATTATAAGAAAACCAAATTGCCAAAAGTGATTCTGGTGAGATTTTTTCTTCTGGTGTGTTGGTGGACCATACTGTCTTAAGCTTCCTGATTAAATGTTTATTCTTTCTGGCAGAAAACGAGTGTCAAGGAACTTGACTTAGAAGCTGCATTGATCGAGCGCCAGGTTTAAACCCCTTCACTACACTGCTATGGGACATTAACATCTTTTTTATTTACAATAGTTTTCCATTTCACACTGTCTTGGTAACTCCTTCTATCTTCGTTGTCCTAATTACATTTAAGGCTTTGCACTTTGTAATTGAATAGTGTGACTCACATCCTTGTATGAATCTTTCATACTGACTGGGGCTAAAATCTCTCCTATTGTCTTCTGCAGCACCACAATAAACTAATGATGGAAGCTAAAGCCAGAGGAGAAGGATACAAAATCGACAAGCTAAGACGAAATATAGAGATGGACGAGTATGATTTCTTACACTGGCGCCGATCTTTGGAGGAAAGAGAAGCATTGCTTAGAGATATTAGCTCGTAAGTAAAAACTAAACTCATCAACGTGAGAGAGCATGTTTGTCGGAAAAGGTGTTGATGTTTAAGAATCTATGTTTCAGCCGTCAAGCACTTGGTTTACCATTAGAGGAACCAGGGAGGTATAAGCCAGGAAACTTCTTTGGGAAAGACCAGTACGATCCAACAAGTGCACTATATCAGTATGACTACTGGGGAGAGCCAAAGAACTCGGAGATTAGCAAGCAAGAGAGGATGAAGGATGCACACAACAAATCCATAGTTGGGAAAGGCAACGTGTGGTATGATATGTCTTATGATGATGCCATTAAGCAGACAATGGAGAAAAGAAAAGCTGAGCCTAACTTGGCCAAACAAAAAGAAGAAATAGAGTCTGAAGAAGAAGACGATGAGTATGAGTTTGATGACTTTGACTATAGCATTCTGAGTGATGAGAGTAGTATAGGTTACCCGGAACAGCAACCTGTCGTTAACGGTACTCAAGTCTTGACAGATTGATGTTTAAACGGGAGTAGAAAATAAGATTTTTTGAGTCTTGTTTGGACTTTCTATCGTTACTTGAAGGACACAACTGCTTAGTAACATGATGAATCGATCATTGGCAAAATGAATAACAGGAAAGATGATTACTGATGATCTGATCATTTCATTGAAGTCACAATATAATCCCTAGTATAGGAGGATTAGTTACTCTTTTACTAATTAGTCTTAGTTACAGCCAAGAGGTCCAGACCTAGAAAGTAATTATATTCAAGTTTATAGCCAAGAGGACCAAACATATATTCAAGTTTCCTATTAGTTAATAAACTAAAGTAAAATAAGAAAGATTATATATACACAAAAGAAATTAAAGTCTCTAGCTAAAAACGCTTATTAGTGTGATCCCTAAAACAAATTATTTTATAATAAAACTAGCAGTTGACCCGCGCTCCGCGCGGGAGGTTTATAATTTTTTGTTAATTTTTTATTCATATTGTGATATTTTATTTATTTTTAATTGATTTTCAAAACATATTATAGTTATTTTATCTTGAATTATTATGTTTCAATATCTAAATTTGGATTAAAAGCATTTTTTTATTGATCATGTTATAAACTAATATTTCACTTTCAATTTTATTTTTTCCCTTTAAAATTTTATATATACAATTACATAAATGTTGTTTTTATTCTACCATAAATTTAAAATTTACTTAGATTCTTAAACTCAGTAACACATATAAAATTTTAAACTATGATCAATTTAAAATGAAAGTTGAATTATATTAATACCACTAACTAATAAAAAATGAAAGTATTTCTTATTTAAAATTTCATTTATTTAGATAATTTATATGTGTTATGAAGTCCAAAAAACATAGAGAAGCAACACATAGTTAATTAAACAGTGGTTGGTCCAAGTGGCCTTTCCTTTACTGCATATATAGATAGTAAGATAGGTCATGTCCCAGTGACCCAGTCCCACGTATCATAGCATTTCATTAGATATATTACACTTTTACCGCAGAGGTGTAGTACATTCAAAACTGTAGTAGTACAACATTCTCCTTTATTTTGTTTTCTTTTGCTCGGACGTTTCACGTTTCTATTGGATCGTTACTTTTGTTTTATTCCTTGCTTCATCAAAACTGTTAGTGCCGACATCAACAATAACAACAACAAAAATTGAGTTCGACTCCAATCTACCTCTTCGAGAGTAAGTAAGTAACTAGCTTAAGTAAGATCACATGAGAAAAGAGACTATTAATTTCCACATTTCTCGTCGTTGATTAGAAAATTATGAGTTTATATATTGTATGGTAATATATATATATCGTTGAAATAGTCAGATAATTGAGCGTTATAAGCTATATAAGCAAGAAAATATTTGTACCGGTGTTGAGATCTTGTTTCAAAAGCCGGAGCGGTCGACGTTCAGATATTTTTTTCTGTAGCGATTAAGACAGTATTTGGTTTTACGTTTTGGACCACTTTTTTTTTGGATTTTGCATGATTGGACCATACTCGTTTCAATCTGACCCGTGTAATTTCAAACCGTCCTTGCCGTGAAATCTGACAATATATATAGTGCGTCTAACATATAATATGTGGGAGGAAACGCACCGACGACAAAAAACGCATTAAAATACATACATATTTTCCCTTCATTGGTTAACTTTAAACAACAAACTCGAGAATTTATCACCACAAACGCGTTAAGAACTAAGAAGAAGAAGAAAAAAAATGCATTTTTACAAGAACTCTAAATATCTTGAAGAAACAAACAGAACAAAGACGGCATATAATTAACGTTAGTTAAGTAATTAGAAAATCTAATAAGTTGTCCGAATAATGTTACGCGGAGGATCATTGTAATGTAACAATCGAGACCGTTCGTCGCCGATATATATAGTTGATCTGACGGTGATATCAAAGGCACAAAGCGGCCTTAACGTCGAGCCTCCAAGCAAATCCACCACCGTGATCCATTCTCCACACGTCGCAAGGCACCGTCACTGATGAGCCTCTCTCACGACTTTGACACGTGTGCTGTAGTTTCACTCTGCATGTGAAACCAGGTGACGTTAGCATCGGCCTCTCCCTCATCACCAACCGTACCATCACGTGAAAACTACTATCTCCGTTTATTATCTCCGGTGAAACTTCTTCCACAGGAATGTTATCCCTAGCCATCTTCCGATAAGCGTCGTTCGTCCACGTGACTCTCCCCGAACCGTCGGATATGAAACCAGGGCACGTGTCTCTCACAAGATTCATCTTCCTTTCTTCATCTGACCTACCCAAACCGTAACCCTCGATCCAAGCGTCCGTTACACGTTCCACCGTCATACACGACGAAATCACCACCGTCCTTTGCACAACCGGAGTAAACATCCCACCGCCGTCGCTGAAACTCAACCATAACGGACCCTGACGCTTCTCCTTCTCCACCGCCATCAGATCCGTAACCGCAGGTTTCTCCGGTAAGAGAGAAAGAGTCACCGCATTAGCGCCGCCGTGAGTCACAGATTTCTCCGATGTCTTCTTCCGCCGGGTGCACCTCTTATTAGCGTTACCACCACCGTTAACCTTACTCTGATGGCATTTCCTCTTTCTTCTACCAGCCCTAATAAAAGAAACGTCAGAGCTTCCACCGCCGCTATCTCCGCTGGATACGGGCTTTACTCCGCCGTCACTGGCTGGTTTAGGAGCGATGGGACGAAACCTAAGCATGATGCGATCTGCTTTGGAAAGATCGTAGGGCTCAGAGCCAATGGCGTACCTAGCTATGCAACACCCTCCCCTACCGTCCATTGTTTCTCTCTGTGAGATTGTGTGTAAAAGAATGTTATGAGAATTCTATAAGCTAATGATAAGCTTTCTACTTGAGCTGAGGAACACTAAAGCAGAGATGGTTAAGGGTTTTATAATGTCTGTGATCTGGACACGTATTGAAGTCTACATGTGTTGTGATACGTGCACGTGTCGGAGTCTGCACGCTTGTGGTTGTGTTTGGTCTAGAAGACGCTACTACAAGGGTTGCACATGGCATTTTTTTTTTTATGCTAATGTTTTTGGTCTTTCTGCCTAAGTTATTCTCGCAATCTCTAACCATTATTCTTTACCAAAAAAAAAAAAAAAAAATTCTCTAACCATTAGTAATTTAGTATGTAATGTATCACCGTAAATTAAATGCAAAAAAAAAGAAGTAAAATATTAATATGCATCTTGCTATAGTGGAGGTGAAAAGGTATTGGATATGCTATTAATAGTTTAATCAATTTACGTAATTTTTTGTTTCACTGGTGCGAGGAACATGTGTTTATATATATATATACATGTTATATTATTTTTATGAGAGGTTCTTTGTGAGTTTGAGAAGCTGTATATTACTAATGATAGCATTAATGCTCTCATACATGGTTTTGGGTATACGAGGATACAATTAAGAAATACAAAATATTGATAATTTGAGAAGTTGTATGTTTATTACAGCCATTTTATATAAACATTACGTTATATATATTTTTATTTGCTTTTAGGTTATTAAGCTCATCGAAATCTAAGTTCTAATAAAGGATTAAAATTTACCATTATTACTTTTTTTTTTTTGAACAAACTGAATTTACCATTAATTAAGATTGCATTATATTGCTTGGTCTTGGGGTAACGTCACATTAATGTTAGGCAAAAACTAAAAAGGTACATTCTAATTAAAATGACGTAACATTCCTATGCTTGTTAACTAATTAAGACCACCACCATTGTTTTTTTGGAGTTTTTAAGTTAAAAAAAAACTAAGAAATGTTTTTTATTAGTTTTTCTTAGCATAAGAATCTCCTAAAACATCACCAATAATGATGCTCTTTGATTCTTAGATTTTTGTATCTATTTTATCTACATTATTTAAAACTAACCCACTCCCTACCAATTGATATATTACTCAAAAACTCATAATTAACCAAATCATTTTTCTAATGACTCACGAATAATCGACCTACTAATTGGTAATATATAAGAAATTTTGATTTAAAAAAGTTGGGAACTGACTTTAGAACTTTGACGGATATTTCAAATAGCGAAATACCAAAACAAAATGTTTTACAGAATAATTGACTTCATTAATTGATTTCTACAATTTAAGATTAGTTTTCTCAGGGCTTATCAAAAAATTTTTATATAAATTGATATTCCCTCTGTTTCATTATAAGTGATGTTTAAAGTTTTGGCACACTAAACAATAAAACATATAACTTACCCATTTTCCATAAAAACTTCATTAACTAATATGAATTCAACCAATAAAAAAATATGATGTAAAATATAATTGCTCAAAATATATTAAATATATTAATTTTTGCATAGAAAATTAAAAATATCACTTATATTGAAACAAAAAATTGGCTAAACATCATTTATAATGAAACAGAGAGAGTATAAACAAAAACAACCAAATTTTTTTTATTTCTTTTTAATTAAACCATAACAAACGAATTTACTCGTAGAATTGTGAAACTAATTAAGACAAACTTTACATCCATTAATGTACTAAAAATACGTCTTTTATAAGAATCGAAGTCCAAAGCCGAAAATAAAATCCTTGATCATTGAACCATATGAGTTTCCAGCAGTAATTTTAGATAACAAAAAAAAATTGTCAAAATCAAAATCAGGTTGAAATTATTATGAAAAAAATAATGTTACGCACAGTTCAAAAGATGAGGATTGAATATAATGATAATCATTGACCAAGTCTCAACTTAAAGCTAATGGCATCTTAATTAAAATTAAAAGTGAGAATGACAAATTAGATCTCAAAGGGGACAAGATGATCTCATGCGTAAATGACCTTAAAGATTTAGTGACAATGATCGGTGACAAAAAAATAAAGATTTAGTGCCAATGGAGTTAGGTAATCGTCATTGACATAAAGAAGCTTAAGTAAGGCATATTAATTAACCAAAACATACTCCTATTACGTACCTATTTTATAGTATATAATTTATTATATAAGTTTAATCCTATCTATTTTTTTTAATTTTAACTATCATAGAATGCGAATTATTATCAATGAACTATAGATGTAGACAAAACTTGGATACATATGTTGTTCTTAAGCGTCATAATTTAATTAGGTTCAAACCTCAAAATGTAAGAGCTCGTCGTAGACGGAAAAAAACAAACACTATTTCAGAATAGTGTATATTACTAATACAAACAAACAAATATCTTAGAAAAACTTAGACTAGAGTTCTAACCAAAGAAAAAACCTTGTAAAAAAATATTAAACGTTAGATTTGGCCATTTGGGATGGAGTTTCAGCTTCTTAGACCGTCCCCAATGCTAAAGTTTTTTAGCATTATTGTAATTATAAAAAATATAAGTTTTGAAGTTAAGAAATTTTTGAAAATGAAAAAAAATATATGCCTCTAATGGTAGAGTTCTAAATTCAAAGTTTTTAAAATTATAATTTAAAAAATTTGCTTTGAAAACAAATTTGACGTACAAATCTCAAACCAATCAATTGCCTACATCTTGCACTAAAAACCAACATCAAAATTTCTAACTAAGATATTTTTCTTAGGTTAATACATATTTTGATTTACTTTTTTACCTTTTATAACTAAGAAATTTGCTAACATACTTGCATTAGACATGCTCTTGGGTGCGAGGAATCTTGAAAGTATTACGGGTTGGCTTGGCTGTGTTGTACTTCGCATGAGAACACGCATAATAACATGTAAAGACCAGTCATTAGCTAATGTGTTTATAATAATCGATCTATACATAAATAGTTGATTACTACTAACATTATTTGTATCTAATATTCTAAATATTAACCAAAACCAGTAGTTAAGCATACACACCCATCTTTAATTATATAAGTGCCTTGAAGTATATAGCACATTTATCGGTGGAAGAGTTTTCACTCTAGAACCAGAATCTTTTTATCGACTAAGACATCTCAATTAATTAAGTTTAGTTTGGCATAAGTCATTATAATTATGGTTACGTTAGAAATATCAGGATCTAAACCTTTATCAGTAAAGCCAAAATCTACCTATATGGCTATATATATCGTTTTCCAAAAATTTCTAACATTTCATATATATATATATATATATATAGGCATGGATCTGACTATATCATATCATGCATCAAAGATCAAAAGATGCATTGCTTTTGCTATGAGATAAGAGATACATGGACCAATTAAGATGACGTTCTTGTATAATTGTATAGAACATGGTTCGCCTTTTCATTGTAACTATATAAATAGGTTTTGGCTATCCACATTTTTTTTTTCAAGTATTTTTTTTTTCACTCCTTCATATTATGAATAAGTGAATAATTTAATTAGTCAATTGTTTGATTCATATAGTGTTATACTTTTCTTTGCACAAATAACCTTTCCAGATTTGTTTAGGCTTTCAAATATATAAATATAATTACTATGTTTAGGAAGAAAAAGAAAAGTGAAATCATTGATTGTTGGGCTAGGCTTAGTAGTTTACTTGTATAAAATATATACAGACAAAAGTGTTAACCCTATTTTAAGTAAGTATGCCTCTTGGAACACGTGGCACATCCAATATAGCTAGGTTCCCACAACACCTACAAAATTTTGAAAATTTGGTCTTTCCATAAGATAACTTTCACAAATCTTATAAATTCATATAGCTAGCTAAAATATAATGTGATTTGGATTCTATTATTGTGCTGATCTTCCGACAAGGACATTGTTTTGAGGATCATATATATATACATATAGTAGGAAATTAACTTCACAAGAGTTCCAAAATAATACATATATATATATATATATATATATAGAACTATGGAAGAAATGTTATATTTTATATAGATGAGGAAAAATAATGAAAATAATAATCAATTAATTACATCAACAAAACTAAAGCTTAAGATTGAAAATGGCGTATCTCATGTGTACAAACACATTAACTTATATAATTTCCTACGATATATAAAAGCTTAAATATCTTAAATAGTTAAAAATGGAATATCTATATATAGTAGCTAGTAGTACTGGTACATGGTGATAATTTATACAAAGATAATTGGAGGGTTTTTCTCTAGGAATAGTAAAAAAAAATAGTGATTAGTATAACCAAACGGTAGGATTTACTTTCTAAAAGTAGAAGGCGAACAATCTCTTCTTATCCTTATAAAGATCATTATAGCATATGCTTTTCAAAGACAATTAATAAAGAAAAATAGATAAATAGGCAGAGAAGAAAAAAAAAAGTTGATTACGTTCTGAATCTCACCTGCTGCTTTGATACCTAATTGTATAATTAATAATTAGTATCCGATTAGAGTAATACTAGTACACATTTCGCCAACAGTTTTCGTAACAAATACTAGTGTACTAACAAATACCTGCAAGTTTATTTAAATATTAAGTGATGAAACCGCTTAATTAGACTACTCTTTTCAATTAATCACAAGTGAATCTCAAGTAAACCAAAAGTAGAGCATGTTCGACCAATGAGAAGTCGCCAACTCGAGTTATTAAGGTATATATTAAAGGTTTAAAGAATTTGCGAGGACTGATAGAATAAGGTTCGCTTTGAAGGCCGCAAAAGTCTCAAAACCCAAGAATCCTAACTTGGAAAAATGACGAAATGGGTCTGAGCCACGTGTGTGGATTGTAATCTGGTTGGTGGAACCTAGGATGACTCACCAAAGCTATTGTCCCTCTTTAGGGCAGTAGCCACTAGCCCACTAGATAAGATGATGTCTTTTGCTCCAATTATACCAATGACTAAGAGCCACTTCGATCTCCATTTGTTTTTGATTTCATGTTTCTTCTACTTCCAAAACTCCAATAATGGTTCACCGTTTAGAGCTAAACACAAGATTACGTTATCCTAAAAAGACAACATTTGTTTATTACAAGGACAGTCCCGCTCAAGGTTAAGGTTGACAACTTTTTTTGCCTATACGAAACCACTCACCGTGTATTGTAGTTGTAATTATATTTTTCTACAATTGTTTATTTTATAACGTCTTCTCAAAACCAAATCTGGTGTTATTGAACATTATTAAATTCACTTCAAATTCATAATCTAATGGTAATTCATATATTTTGTTATTCAACCGATAAATTATAGAAATCGTATAAACTTTGTTATCATTCAGCTATATAACTTACGAAACAAACGTTGCGGACTTTCGAACTGAACTTAACCAGAAAGAAAAAAAGAATCGATGAATCAACACATTATTTTTAAAGAAAATCACTATCTATCGAACAACTACTCTACAACGCATACATAACATCATCTTTTGAAATCAACTTCGGATGTATATATATATATATACTAAGATCTCACATACTAAAGGGTGTATGTATGTAACTACTAGTTAATTCGAGTCACATCATAACTTACACATCTAACTTACACAAGTTCTGCAAATCCAAAAGAGGAGACGTACGGATTAGAGTTAGCGACACTGCCAGAATCAGAAAATGATGCAAGAGATAACTCCGGTGGTGATGAATAAAAGCACTGGTGATTCTGACGACTGGACAATGTAAGATAAGAATATATAAAACATACAAGTGAGAGGAACGTACGAGCAGGCGTTGATAAAAGTAAGGTAAGAATCGTAAATGTTCAAAAATATTGATGCCTTGCAGCACAACAAGCGGACCTGAATGCTACGATTAGAGGAAGCTTGTGATTACAAATAGCTCATCGTACCCAACAAAAGCCTTTGAACCGGAACATTCAGATCCAGGTATCAGTCACCAGTGACACACACTGCGGTTAAGGTGATCACACTGCAGTCGACTCGCAATACTATCTTTGTAGTGAAACAACCTTGGTAAAAAATGACAAGGCATAACAGAAAAAAAAAAGCTACAAGTTAACTATAAATGTTGTGGAAGTAACTTACAGATGGCAAGTCCTCTTCCCACTTTTCGGGTAAACCCTTTAGTATTTACCTCGTGAAGAAGATAACACAAAGGAATATGAGGACAAGAAAGTATTGATTTAACAAAGATACTGAAAATATTAGTTTAGATCTCTCAGTTACGTTTTGAAGCAAATGTCGGCATGAACTCCTTTGATTTCTGGAGAGGTACTTCATTGAACCAGCCATGGCTAAGAGCCTCATCAACTGTTAGGCGCTTCTCTGGATCAACATTCAGTAATCTGTTCAACAAATCAAATCCCAACTCTGAAAGAACTGGAGCTCCTGTAAAAGATGCAGCAGGAAATTTCTTACGCAGTAAATTGTACCTGAAATGAAGACACAGATTAATTAGACTAACATGTTATGCCTAACAGAACAAACATCATAAAAACAGATTAACACTACATGAAAGATTACTCACGGTTGCTTACGAAACTTGGCTTTGGCACCTGGCAACGACGTGAATCCAGGCCAGACTGTCTCGCTTGGTGTCCCAAGAACCGCAAAGATCTGTAAAGATATTACAGAAGCCTTATTACTAACAGATAAATACTCATCAAAGAGAACATAATATAAAGAAACTAGAAAAACCATAGTTACCTGTTGAAGCTGGTCAATGTCATTCTGACTTTTCCCTCGGAAAAGAGGTTTTAGAGACAATAATTCAGCCATAATGCACCCAATCGACCACATATCAACTGCGGTTGAGTACACTTTTGTTCCTAGAAGAAGTTCTGGGGACCTACAACACAAACATCAAGTATTAGGTCAGCTTGCAAGACTCACAAATAATTTTTTTAAAAAAAAATAGTTTTTCGATAGATTTATCTCACCTGTACCACTGTGTAACAACTAATTGGGTGTAGGGCTTGATAGGACTCCCATATTGGCGAGCCATGCCAAAATCACATATTTTCAGCTCCCCACTGTTGTTTAATAAAAGATTCGATGGCTTCAGATCTCTGTGGATAATCCAGTTACTATGGAGGTATTTCACACCTTCCAACAGCTGTATCATCAGGCATTTTACCTCACTGGTGCTAAAAGGCTGCTTCATTCTGTCCATCACTCCCCGTAAATCATGTTCTAAGTGTTCCATGACCATAAAAACACTAGCTCCGTTTCCCACCACAACTTCCTTGACGTTCACGATTGATGGGTGATTGCAAGACAAAAGAATGTTGATTTCCCTCAGAGATGTCAAGGGGAATCCATATTCATCTTCCATGTTCATCTTAATCATTTTGAGTGCCACTATCTCATCTGTCTTCCTGTCCTTTGCTTTGTAAACAATCCCATAAGTGCCTTCATTTATCTTACTTAGCTTCTGATATTCGTTTACATCTCTACTACCCGCTAACATGCTCAAGCCTACATCCGGGGAAGCTGGTTCATCAATTTCTGACACACTAAAATCAGGAGGAGAACATTCTGCTTCACCAACATCCATATCAATACGACTCCCCAACTCATGTTCTGAATGTTCACGGGCACTAATAGGACGTCCGCTACCAGACCCAGATGAACTGGACCTCCGTTCTTCAGACGCTTCCGATAACAATTCCCCACTCTCAGGAGACAAACTGCTCCTATTCCATCTACTACTCCTGACAACATCAGTTATTACATCCTCCTCATCCTTTGGAGATTCCAAACCAGTGGCCCATTTAGACGTCGCAATATTAGGTGCCTGAACCACCTGCCGATCATCCTCCAACTGGCCTTCCTCGAGATCATCAAGCGGATGTTGCACATCCAGTTGAGCTTCTACCGGCAGTACTGACACTGAAGGTACATGCTCTGGTGACAAAACACCAACTTGATCCTCAGAAGATATCTTCCTAGTAGTAGCCACATCGACAAATTGGTTAGTTTTTATAATCTTCTCACTAAGTGGAGCTCGAACCATTCTATCTTTTCCCTCCCATCCAGCAGGCGAACACTTCCTCCTCTTCTGAACACCATATTCCTCTCGAACTTCTCCTCTTTGAGAAACCAAACGTGGTCCTTTGGGTGAATCACGTCGCCCATCTCTCCTCCTGCGATCAGCTTCAATGGGTCTTTTAGTTTGATGCCTCTCACCGTCTCTACCACCTTGACGCGAATTAAAAGCACGAGTACGATCAATAGCAACAGAACTTCGCGAAACTTCAACTCCTCCTGCCGCCATCGTAATTAAATAACCAGAATTTTTCTTCTCAATGAACAATTGAAAAAAAAATCACGATAGGAATAAAAAACCCCAAATCACCAATATCGCGAGAATCAAAACACCCCAGATAAGAAAACCCTAGGAGAATTTTAAAAAGCGATGACAAGGCAGATGATTATTCTTCAATTATCGAAATAAAATAGATCAAATCAAACAAGGAGAAAAATCTCGATGAAATTGAAAATCAGATCTGGAAAACCCTAGATGTTCAATTCCAAAGAACTTCCTTTCTCCACCGATTGTCACAGATGCCGGAAGCTCTTGCCGGAAGGCGAATCGGAAACTGGGATCCAGGAGATATCGATCAAAACGAGAGCCAAAGAGCAAATAACTCGTGAAGCTTCTTCTGAAACCCTTCGATGAGAGAAGCGAACACAAGTTCTTTTGTTTAATAATGACCTTTCGTCGATTTGTTCTCTTATCTTCTAAAATAAGGTCAAACTAGATTGGCCGGCCCTTTTGTACTCCATTATCGTTTATTTTAATCGAGTGCGGGCATGTGTAAAACTACGCACATGGTATTAGCTTTCTTAATCGTTAGATGCCATCAAACAAATCGAGTCCGCTCGATGACTCGAAGGGAAGAATTGGCTAATGGAAAGCGCACATACATTATTAAATTTAACGGTGAGGATGAATGCTACCTTAAGTTGATCGGACCATTAGAATTCTGACGCGTTTAACTTGATTTTAGATATTTTCTACACCCCCGTGTTTACTTGGGTTAATTAATAAATTTTTATTGTGGGCTTCGTTTAGTCTTTCCCTTTTATTTGTTGGGTTAAATTAAAATTGTACTAGAGTTTTCTCTCTCTTAACTCTCTCTTAACTCTCTCCGAGAAACTTAACTTTCGTTTTCAAATAAAATCTGAGTTTTATATATTATCAGTTTCGTTCATGTTATAGTCTTCCAGTTTGTCCGGATTTAAAATCTCTGATGTATTGTCGGCCATAGAGCTCCTATAGAAGTGTGTAGAATAAGTTAGAATATCTTTGAATATATTTCTTATAATATCTCAATTATGTATTTATGTATATTAGGAAACTATATCATTTAGGTTTAGCATCTCCTCCCTATATAAACATATGTAACTATTATTGTAATCTTCATGAGAGTCAATATAATATTTCCTAATCACTAGTTTGTTCTTCTCTCATCAACCTTCAACATGGTATCAGAGCAGGTTGCTCCCGAGTTTTGATCTAACAGTCAAACTCGTTTTCTTTTATTTTTGTTTTTGTTAAGCCAAGTGCTTCTTCCATTCAAGTTCATCATGAACCTCTGAATCTAAGCCATCGTGCTTCTCTTCATTCAAGTATATGACATAGACTTCTGAATCTAAGCTACAAATGCTTTTTTATTTTTATTTTTATTCAAGTTCATCATGAACCTCTGAATCTGAATCTTAAAAAAAAAAAAAAAAAGTTTTTTTTATTCATGTTTATCATCATACACCTCTGAATCTGCTTTTTTATTTTTCTTATTATTAAAAAAAAAGAAAACACTATCACTTATGCTTCGGATAAACATCTGAATCAAGCCATTAAAAAAAAAAAAATTGTTTTCACGTTTTTAAGGCAAGAGCTTCTTATTCAATTTTTTTTTCTTTCTTTATTATTATTATTTTTATATGAAAAAAAAAACATCTGGCGATCATATCAAATCAAAAGAACGGCTTCCAACGAAAGCAAGTTTACTGCGTTTGTTCGAGCACATATGAGCTCCATCACCTTACCCGTTCTACCATTCCACCAAGATCAATCTCAAGCCATGAACTCCACTTTTGTTTCATCACTTTCTTGAGATTGAGGGGGCGTATAGAAGTGTGTAGAATAAGTTAGAATATCTTTGAATATATTTCTCATAATTATCTCATTTATGTATTTATGTATATTAGGAAACTATATCATTTAGGTTTAGCATCTCCTCCCTATATAAACATATGTAACTATTATTGTAATCTTCATGAGAGTCAATATAATATTTCCTAATCACTAGTGTGTTCTTCTCTCATCAACCTTCAACAGCTCCGACACCGTGTCGGTTTTCTATAACCTTTTGCTTGTTCTTCATGTTAGCACTTTTTAAAAGAAGTGTTAAAATCTGGAAGCTTGTTGGATCTTTGTGTACTAAGTGCTTGAAATTTCGTTCAATTGATGGTAAACCCACACTCTTCCACATATGAAAAGTTATGAGTGATGGTTCTCGTTGGCCGATTAATTTCAAGATGATGCAGTTTGAAGGAATCGGAGTATGAAGAATTGGAGTTCCAGTCGAGTTTGATAGTTCTCCGACGAATATTCCATTTCATCTACTGAGTTTTTCATTCTGGTAAACAAAGAAAATCCAGCCAGTTTCTTCCAGTAAACTTTTGCAAAAGGTGATGAGTACACATCAAAAGTTATCTTGAGTAGAAATCTGCGAAAATACTGAAGTTCCGGCTGACGAAACAAGATTCCGGCAAGGAACTGGTTCAGATCGGTGATGAAGTTACAGCTATACGTGGATCTACTCGGAATCACCACGTCTGCCCTACACGTGTTTATTTTTTAGTTAGTCTTATGTAATGCAAATGTGGTGATGGGCTTAAGATTTGTACTCTTTAAACTTCCCGTAATGGGCTTTATAATAAAACTTGGTTGACAAAAAAAAAAAAATTAAAATTGTACTAATTAATAAGTTAACTCAAAAAAAATGTAAAAAATGTAAAAAAAAAATCCGACCTGCCGGAATCGAACCAGCGACCTAAAGATTTGCTGTCACAGACTACAGTCTTCCGCTCTACCAACTGAGCTAAGGTCGGATGTTGCACAATTCCTGGTTTTTTTAATCATTAACATTATTCGCTTAAAATACATCAATGAAAAAGAAATAGACATTATAGACATTCGTTTGGTTATGTTATTACCGTTCACATTTCGTTTAGCTCTGTTTTCTAATTAGTCACAAAAATTGTGTTGCAAGTTTGGGTGCTGCAAGGAATTGAACCAAAACATTACCCCGTTATATCCGGTTTTGTTGTGTTTTACAAATCTACACCTTTTGGTTTTGCAGGAGTATATTCTATAAATTACTCGTTATACATACTGTTTTAATATAATTCTATCAAACGTTGTTATTAATGATGTGACTTCTTCTCTTGATCTTCACCTTGAGTCCACCAGCCATATGAGCTGTTAAAAGAGGAACAAAAACCGGCCGGTCTTTGCCAACCGGCACAATCTCAAACCGACTCAGAACAGAACCAACCACGTACTTCATCTGCATAAACGCCAACTCCTTCCCTACACAAACCCTCGGACCGGCTTGAAAAACCGGAAATTTGTAAGGACTAACGGGTTTCAAAACCGGTCTTGTACTTCCCGGTTCATAATCGAACCATCGGTTCGGTTTAAACTCTTCCGCATCTTTCCCCCATAGCGTCTCCATCCTTCCCATACCGTATGGGAAATAAGTCACTTTGTCTCCTTTCTTGAGACGTGTCCCATCAGGCAAAACGTCGTCGTTCGCAGCATGCTTAGAGTCCCACGACACTGGAGGATAAAGCCTCATGGCTTCACATAGACAAGCCTTCGTGTAATTCATCTCTTTCAAATCCTCAAACCCTAACCCTAAACTCACCAACGGGTCCACTTCTTCTAAAATCTTCCTCTCCACGTTATCGTTCTCAGTCAACGACCAAAACAGCCACGTCATCGCTGCTGACGTCGTATCTCTTCCCGCCATGATAAAACTAATAACCATGTCCCTCACTGCTTTGCCGTCATGGCCGGCTGCTAGAAACCTCGACAGAAGATCTTGCTTCGCTTCTTCTCCGGTTCCGATCTCAAGACTCTTCTTCTTAGCTCTAACAATCTCGGAGACCAACATGTGTACCGTACTGATCGCTTCTCTAAGCCTCCTCTCGCTTCCCACGTTTAACACACGCTTCACTTTCCATACAGCATAAACTGGCTCTGTAGCACGGCGAGCACTAATCTCAGCGGCGGTGTCAAAAGCCTCCACGAGAGGATTCACGGGTCTGGTAAGATCCAAACAATCCGGATCCCAACCCAGCGAGACTTTACAAACAACATCGAAAGCAAAACGTTTCAAAACATCTTGCAAGTCCAAGGTCGTCCCAACATCAGCAGCCGCGGATAGCACCGGGACGAGACGGTTCTCTACTTCGTCTTTAAGAACTTCGAAAGCAAAACTCCTAAGCGAGCGAGTCGAGAACTCGTGGCTAGCGAGTTTACGCTGAGAGCTCCACGTGTGACCGTCCACGTTGAATATGCCTCCACCGAGGAGATCACCAAGAAGATCGGTAAATGGTTTACCTTTAGGGAAGTTAAAGAAGTTTGTTTTGAGAATGTATTCAACATTCTCTGGATTTGTCGTGACGATGGTGCGACGGTTACCGAGGAGAGGAACTAAGATGGTTTGAGACGGAGAGAGGCGGAGGAGTTCAGTGTACCATTGGAGAAGACGGTGACGGTTTTTGTTGAAAGAGAGTAAGGAGCCAATGAGTGGATACGATTTTGGTCCATAAATGGTGGTTTCTTGAGCTGTTTTACTAGAAGATAAAAAGAAGATGATGACTGTAATAAGAAACGCTAGTGTCACAAAACTCAGAAGAAATGCCATTTTTTTTGGTGTTCTTGTATTTCCTTTGGTTGGTGTTGTTGTTGGAGAAACTTTGTGAATGTGATATTTAAAGTGTATGTGTGTGTGTGTTCTTGGTGGGTATTGCGTGTGTGTTTTGTCTGTATATAGGGATTGGATAGGTGGAGGGTCCAACCAATCGGTCCCAAAAGATATCGCTCTTATAACATTTTTGTCACTTATATTATATAGTTTGATCGACGTGACACGGCATTATATGTGTATAAATACGATATACGACAATATTTTATACTAAATTTTTTTGGGTTTGTATATTTATATGTAGATTCCTTTTATCATTGGGTAGAGTATCTCTCTCAAAAGCCGCATATGGTTTTCTAAAATTTTGACGTGTTGCAAACGCTTTGGAGACGCACAAGTCAAAGAGCTTAGCATCAGCACGTGGCATATTCTCCGCCGAAACCACGATCAAAAGTGGAAACCGTGACGCGAGTAAAACAGACTATATTAAGTAAACTATATTCTTAGTATAACTTTATAATCATTAACAAATTAATACTCAACACATGTCCAAGACCTAATAGTACATGTGTTAGTTGAAACTGTGATATGAAATTGCAAAAGATAGATCCAAAACATGATACTATTACTAGCTCTGGTTTACCGTTTTAACATTATGTGATGACCTATATTATAGAGTCTCTAAAAATAATCGAGCAATTATACTTTTGATAAAATGTGTCGGGGTTTAAGTAATTCTCTAAGCCGAAATGAAAAAAATGAGGTAGACAATGAAAAGAAGAAGACAAATTCTGGCAAGAGATTGATTGGGAGACAGACAAAACTGTTCCCACTTGAAAGAGAGGGCTATTCATTTTTGCACGTGCTTCTTGAGGCTTGTGCATGAATCTTGTAATCAACAAAATGATCAGTTTTTATTTATACTATAAAAGGCCATATATAGTTTACTTTTTGCTTCTTCTATATACGATCTTTAGGTAAAAGAAGATGTGAAATTGATTTTGAGCCACTCACATACGAACTTTGTCGTTGTGGATACCGTCTCGTGCATGCATGATTGTGCACAAATTCATGAATGGTATGAACTAAATATAACGGCACCGATTTACAAATGATATGAGACAAGACAATTTGATCGATATCACATATTCAAGATCATTTCAATAATTCTTGTCAACTTCACCGTCCAAAGAACTCGTGCTTTATACGAAGATAGTTTTTATTTTGTATTTTGATATCTCAACAGCAAGTTAAATTTGCAACAATGTTAGTAGAGCCTCACATGGATCGTCAAGTTCCTGAACTCTGATTATATATCACTCATCAACTATATTTAAATTTTAATACACAATCTAACAACACATATATGTGTCATGGTTCGTTTCTAACAACAAAAAAAAATGAAATAGAAAATGAGCTTATGCATATTATATGCTCATCTATCATATATGCGGATTAAATGATCTAAGTTGACATTTGTTTATATATGCTCATGAGTCATGGCCAAAATCCACAAACTAACTTGAGAATGTTTATGAAAAATATCATCTACTAGTATCTATTGCATACTCCACTTAGTTGATTGTTCATTTTAAAATAAATCTAAAAGTTGACAAAATATGAATCATGAGAAAACATAAACACAACTACATTTGTAGATGTCAATAGTTATGTAATGCAACAATGATTTATTTTAAAATCTATATGGCGATGCCAAGTTTGTACATATATGTTTTAGTACTTTAAAAAAAAATCACAAGCTTTTCATGGGTAATTGGGTATTTTTAAAAGATTAATGGGAACATTACATAATATTAACTGGATTTTTTTCAGAACTTTGGGATATCAATTAATTAAATCTACAATCTCAAGGATTCTCTTTACATAAGAGAATTACGAAAATGATTAGTCACACAAGGAGATCCTCGTAAAAATGGCATCAAGAGTCCATTTGATCTCAATCCCCAAGTCACAAAAAAACAATTGGAGCAAACTAACTTGAATAAGAATCATCTCTCTCAAACTGTTGTTGCTGATGCTTTTGTGAGCTTGATGCATGATTGGTGTTAATTTCTCCAAGAGCTTGTGAGTAACTTTGATTTGAATTGTAAAGAACTATGCCATATATGTTGTTAAAATTGTGTATTTAATGCATATGATGAGAGAGAGTTCAAGAGCATGACTGAGGGCTCTACGAAGAACTATTGTGATTGCTTGAATCTCTACGAAGAGCTGAGTTTATGTGAATATATACATTCTTTCTTTCTTTCTTTGATTTGTTTTATTCAAGTATAGTGTTGAAAATTCTAGACCAATCATACCATATCGCGTGTTTGCTTGTATGGTGTTGTATTATAAATCAAAATGTGTGTATATACTGCAATTTGAATCTAGAAAGAAATGTATTGCTTGAATTCCAATGGAACTAATTGACATGGCTAGTGAAGGTCCTACACTCAAACCTGTCCAAAAAGTAATCTTATGAATAAAGCCTATATATTTTGGCCCATGAAATTTTAGGGTCGGTTTGCATACATTTGCCGAGAGCAAAACATAAGGAACAAGTATCTCCTACAAAGAAGACATTAAAAGGAAAAAAATAACTTGCTTGAGAACAAAACTTCTCACACATTGAATTACGAACAAAGACCTATAACTTTGCTTTTCTTAGCTTAAGAACCACCTACGAGTTAAAAAGAGAAAATATGAATAACATTTCTTTTCTAGATGAGTAATTAAAAATATTGATCACTTGGTGATTATTTGGAAACGTTTGATCCTGGAACCATACTTTCTATTGAAATATGCCGAAACAGTACTTGGATAAACCCTAGTATTTTTGCCTACAACAACATCTAAATCAAACCAAAGTCTATATATAAAAAACACACCTCCAAACAAAACTACATTGTTCCATAAACCATTATCTAATTACATATGTCAACTTTTTCATTGATTTTCATTTTTTGGAAAAATATGTAAGTGAATTGTATGTGTTGAATCTATACTATTAATTGGGAAGGACAACTTGAAGCCAAACACCCCCAATTTTAAAAAAAAATTTCATGAAAATAAAACCAGTTGCCAAACAGAATTAATGACAGCAAAAAAAAAAAACAAAAACAAAAACAAAAAAATTCTATATTTATGGAAATCATAATAATCTTTTACCATAAAAAGTGGACAATTAAATTCAAAATTAAATATATGTAAACATATCTATTTTGAATATACATAAACATATTTAGTATTAATTTAATATTTTAATATAATTTCGAAATTAATAATTTATATAGAATGAAATCTAATAAAACAAAATCATCATATATCTAAATAAACAAAGATAACATTATTTTAGAAAAATAAAAAGATAAAAAATATGTTAGCATATGAAATAATCAACTAATCAAATTCT